TCGTCACCGTGGGCTCGGAGAGTTTCAATCAGCACCTTATCTGACATCCTCTCAGTGGTGAGGACACGGTTGCCCGAAATTAAGAAAAGTCACAGAAATGAATGCGATAACAACTTGGAATGTGACCCACAGAACGGCAAGCAGATCAAAAACTGCAGTGCGCTGCTCACGCACAAATGACGCACGAAAACAACATACACAGGACGACAGCAAACTAACGTTTACCGCTCGACACTTAACGCACCGTTTAAATAAAAACGAGGCACAAGACGTAATGAGTACGAACTAATAAGTGCCTCAGTTGTTATTTTGCTGTGTTTAAAAAGAGCACTCTCTTTGCAAACGGTGCCTGTTTAGTGAGCGAAGTGATCTTTATGTACCCGGCAACTAAACGCAATCGTTCCGGTCAAAGTCGAAAGCGTGCGATTCTCCCCATCGAAGGATAAGCGCCCGCGCACACACACCAACCCGCCCTCCTTCTCCCCATTCGTGGGGCAATGTACGCGTGGGAGATAAGCGCGCATCGGTGCACCGTGACGAACTGGGTGCCTAGCGTGCGTGGATTTTTTAAAGATGATAGTCTTTCTTGGGGACCTTCGACGCAAAAATTTTGGTCTGTATCTACATTTGTCTGTTTGTCCACTCTTACCGATATCGGGTACTCTGAACAACACCAGCCGATACGCCAAACGACCGACCTCATCCTCAGTGCCCACCAATGTTGCTCAAGATTCAACGTTCATACTTGTGCGATTGTAAATTAAAAAGCAATTATTGCGCATATCTGAGGCACCATAAACATACGTATATATTCTGTATGTGCGTATTTTACTAGAAAAGGCATACATAAGTAATTCTAAGGACCGTAGCGTTAATCATGCTGCGTTTATCATGCAATGCTTGCACGAAAAGGCGAGTGTTTTCAACGCTTTGCTAAGATGACACGGCGGTGGCACCTACCCGTCGTCTTGCATTCTACACCTTATCACCGCTGAGATGGGCGCGCACACCCGTCTCAGAGCCACATGCTTTGTTTTCCAAGAAAACTGCCAGATAGCGCTCATGTCTCGCGTGTAACGTGACTTGATGTGCTCGTTCGCCTCTGCCGCACGCTCGAGGCCCTCTAACGCAGCGCCTCCAGAATACCACTCAACAATTTTCTTCAGCAGAACATCAAATAAATGTTTTGTTCACTCTCTCCACACGCAAGACTATTGTCTTTCGACAACATTTGCAGATTAACATGCATATACGGGGCCAATTTTTTTTCTTGAGTTTTCATATATATATATATATATATAGATACTACACATATACGATGAATGAAGGCGCCGGCAAAAAACTAGCAAAGACTGTTTATATACATAATTGCTATCGTAATAAAGAAAGAAAGCAAAGCTGAACGTCGTCGGGGGCCACACCATGCGCGCGCAGTGAAACTATGCACGACGTCGAAAACTAAGAGCAAACGACACGAACACAGACATGGATATCACGGAAAACTATTCGGTAAAGCGCCCTCCATATGCAGTGCGGCCCCACATATGTGACGCTACCTAAAAGCGTGGCACTGCCAACGCGCAATAGTAGTTTTGTTTTTTTTTTCATGGGGGGGGGGGGGTCAATGCCTATAACGCAGGCACGTGGAGTGCAGGCACGCCTGCCCGCCTCACGCTGACGCGGCCCGCGTGCCTGTTACTGCCGCTTCGCGCTTGGTCGGCGGCGGGGCAACCGCGGAAAATGCTCGTGCCAAAATGAAGAAATGCGGAGCAAAATTCCCATATTTTCTGTGGGGAAAATTTGTTATATTAAGGTTGTCTCCCGCTGTTGCTTTGTTACATAGAGGCCGCAAATACATGTGCTTCTATGGAGCGACGGCGGGAAATAGAAAAACTTTGTTATATCGAGGAATTCGTTATATCGAGGTTCGTTATAAGCAGGTTTACTGTATTCAAAAATTTCAAATGTTCGATGTTCACGAATACTCGTTTCCACTTGTCACTGTGAAGAACTTACGACTGTGCATTTATGATAAAAGTCTCAGTAGATCATGCGGTGATTACTTCGACTTTGGCGTGAGTACGGTGATGCCTGCATAAAAATTCACGGGAGTGATGACGGCTACTGACGAATGCAGCCGCAATGCATGGCAATAAACCTGGTTACGATAAACATATAAATAAATCTAAATCATGTACTGCCTCCACGGCAGTACGCGTGGTCTAGCAGTCTAGTGCTGTTACGGTTCATGTAAGTGTATACCGATCACACAGTCTGCTGCCGCGCCCTTGTGCGCGGGATTGCCAGTGCTTATCGCTCCTGGAAACGAAGGCAACTTGCCGCAAGGGCAAATGCACGCATATACATTACAGGACGCGGAGCTGATGGAGCGAGATCAGTAGGTGATGCACTGCACACAACTAGCTAAGGCACGCTCAACTTGATGTAAGGTGGTAACGCTATTCATGTATAGCCACGCCAGTTTTCATTAATGGATCGCCGTACAAATGTACATGCACACGTCAAAGCCTGACGAGTCATGCGTCAGCTGTGCCGCTACTTCAGCATGTATACTCTCTTCATAGTTCCGGAAGATTTCATGGTAGCATATATGGTCATGCCAATGAGCTGAAGTGTTTTTCCGCGCAATGGCAAACATAAAAAGGCCATGCACTTTCGGTAACGTTACAATAGCATCATGACTTATTGTTCTTCGTTGCTAATGGCAGCACACGTAAGGTGATGGACGGATTAATGCGTAGTTCCGCTGCATTCCCGACAGCGCCTCTGAAAATCTGTCATACGCGCATCGTGCTCGCTCAGCAACGTCTCCTGCAATCAATCCTCCATTACACCGTTGCTGCAATCTCGCTCTTTTGTCAACGTCAGTTTACTGCTGTTGGCAGCTAGTGCGCTGAAGGGGGTTGCGATGCGGCAAAATAGTGCCCTCGCCGCCAGGAGTTGTGGTTCCGTTAACAAAAAGGCATATATGGGGCGTCTTTCTATCATGTATTACCTGGCGCGCTTACTTCGCGTTATCTCTGCGCGCCTAGTACACCTCGGTCACTATCGTGCTGCTATCAGCGCAACACAGCATTCTTGATCGGCAAATGGCGAGTGCGCAGTCCTCGGGAAGGGCAACCGAAGCAAGCGAGATAACGAGTATTGCTGCATAGTTAAAGAACGCTCCAAGTACTCCCTCAGTGGCTTGATCCGTGAGAACAAGGGATAAAATTAACGAAAACTATAAAAGTGGGGTCTCTCGAACAAAAATTAATAAAATTAATAGTGTGGGAACCTGGATGATTTGTGACCACCAAGGCTGCTTTAATAATCGCTTAGACTTAAGTACACGGGTGTTAACTTTTACACAATCAGACCAGTGGCCTCATGCTCACTAGTCATCGTGGCAGGTACGAAAGCTTATTTTTTTTCATAATAAAAAAAAAAGATTCAAAAGGTTTGTTCCACATATGGATTGAACCCAAGACATCACAGTCACAAGCTCAACTATTACAGTCTTATGCTTTCTAGCAATTACAGGTGGTGACATTGTTTTTATTTTTTATTTTTGACTATTATAATAATTGTACGGTTTCCAACATAAGTATATGATTGAGTAAAAGATTCGAAGCTATGTATTTGTATTCAATTCGTATTACAAAATTTTGATATTCGCACACCCTTAGTTATAATGCGGTTGCCGGAAAATCTGTGACAATCCTGGCAGCGAGTGCGTGTCTGAAAGGAGGCGTGCTAGGTGCCCTGCTGTGGAGCGAGCCACGAGGTCATACGGAAAAAAAAACCCGCGTAAAAAAAAAAAAAAAAAGAGAGAGAGAGAGAGAGAGACACTGCACAGCGGCACACTGCACAGGCTCGCTGAGGGCGGTTGCCTCGGTGACGGATAAGCCTTTGGGCCGACACCGATTAGCGTCGCTAGTGTGGCTCCAGGTGCGCGCGGCTCACCATGGCACATGCGATATCACGTCCTCATCAACTGCGCTCAACAGTTTTCTGTCAAGAAAAGTGTAGTCGTTATCGTGCTTGCTACAGCTATTGCGTTTGCTACCTCATCGGTAAACTTAAAACCTTTCATAGCTTCGTGACACGAGCTTTCACCTTTGCTGCCAGTGCGTTGTCTTACGTAAGCTTGGCAGTTTTTCGTCGTCTATGTCACGGCCAGGAACGCGAACTTCACGACGCTTGATCTTCATGTCTTGGACGAACTTCCCGCAAGAGCATACCGAACAGCAGGCTAGGCCTAAGATTTTGGTAGCGGTGACGTGCAATTCAAGTTGTGGTTTGGTACGGGATCAACGAAACTCTTTACGGTGGCTGCACTTGACGGGAAGGGATACATATCATTAATGAAAACAAGTGTGGCATGTGTAGCCCTCAAATGGTGGTTCGCAATTCGATCGCGAGGTTTCGAAATCGGGTGCGCGTCTTTCAGAGTAAAAAATTTTCGACGTGATTCGACATTCAGTGTAAGGTGCATAATCGAGGCGGCCTGAAAAGCAGTTGGTAAATTTTCGCGATGGTGCTTTCTCTTGTTAGCAACTCCCGCGACTTGCGTTATAAGTGGTGTATGCTGTATTCCAAATGTTCGGTATAGATGTCCCACACAAATAAGCGAGAAAGTAAAATAACATTTTGCAGCTAAATAAATATTTTCAGTGAGGCCTACCCTCAGTGCTACCTTTCTTTATTTGTGCGCTTCGTTTAAAATTTTCTTAGTGAAACTGCACGAACAAAAACTACTTTCAGCAAAAATTTTCTGAAATTTGTCACTTCAGGTTTAGCTGTGATTGTACTAAAATTACCTTATGGTGCAGCTTGGCACAGCAAGGGCAATTTGGAGCAGAATAACATAATTGGCGCAGTACCTCCACCCTTGTTAATGTTCGCAAGGGCTTTTGCTTTTCCACCCTAGGTGTATTGACACTTCAACAGAAATAACATGGAATGTGACATAACATGTAACTCAATATCTTACTTACCACAGTAGGCACAAACGGGGGTTTCAGCTTCTTCATAAGCAGATGTTCCCAGTTAATGTTCTGTAAAAAAATACAACAGAGCTAACTCACAGATGGCACATATGGGGACAACACAAACTCTGCAGCCTGACCACTAATTAAATAATTGAAACTGTAACTACTGTCAACAACTACTTCAGATAGTGCAGTGGTTGCTTGAAAGTTGGATAATTTTCAAATACTATTGAAAAATTGCCATAGTTGATTGAGGTTGATACAAGCTTGTCAAGCATAGCAATTAACAGGATTCCTCCGCTACACCTATATTACCAGAACCATCTTTGTTATTTCCACCAAATTGCCCCGCCACGGTGGCCTAATGGCTAAGGTACTCTGCTGACCTGCAGGTCGCGAGATCGAATCCGGGCATGCGGCGGCTGTATTTTCGATGGAGGCGAAAATGCCACAGGTCCGTGTGTGCAGATTTGGGTGCTAAGGTACTCTGCTGACCCGCAGGTCGCGGGATCGAATCCTGGCATGCAGCGGCTGCATTCTTGATGGCGGCGAAAATGCTGAAGGTCCGTTTGCTCAGATTTGGGTGCACGATTTGAGAACCTCAGCTGGTCCAAATTTCCGTAGTCCTCCACTACGGCATCTCCCATAATCATATAATAGTTTTGGGACGTTGAACCCCCCATATCCATCAATCAATGCAAAAAGCATATTACAGCTCTCCCCCACGTGCTGGTATTCCCGCATGGCAAGCAACCACATGCTGTCCACATTATTCTTAGTAATACTGGCATGAAAAAAAAATGACAGGAGTTGCAGTCTCGAGGCATGCACGCCTGCCTGCTTGGGGCTCAATGGATGGTGTGAGAGAGGAGAAAAAAACTAACCCTCCCAGTACCCACTGTGATGACGACACGTATGAGGAGGTCAGAAGCACTGAGATATTGATCTCCACTCAAACTACCACTCAAACTACAGTACAAGATTGTGATTGAAAAGAAAAAAATTCCCATTATCCTAGGTATTCAGGTTATAAAATACAGACAAATCTTATTAATTCAAACACACTTCATTTGAACTTCCGGTTAATTTAAACTCGCGCTGTGGTCCGTCAAAGCTATGGGCGAAAACGCCCTGTAATTCAAATGCGCAAGCACTTGCAACAGTTAATTCGAACATACCACGCTCCGAAAATGCTTTCAGCACCACATCCAATCCCGCGGTGGCACCTCCGACACCGCAACTCTGTGCGCAAAGAAGGAAAAGAATAAAAGGCTGCGGTGGAATGTTTCCTCTCTCTCAAATGCCGATCCGCGACGTGCCTGTGCCACGCTTCTCCCTTCTCCGTCCCTGCCACGTAAAGACCCTTCTCCTTTCAACGCCGCATGCGGAGAAAGGAAAAAAAAAATCGCAGCATATCCACGGACTGCATTATAATGAGCTGGGTGAAGGGTCCGTCTGTCCGCCAGTGCGTTCGTGTGTCCGTCCCTGCATCCGTCCATCCATCCGTGCGTCCGTCCGTGCATCTGTCTGTCTGTTCGTCCACCATCTCGCATCTTTTCATTATATATTCAGCATATAGAAGTACCGCCATCCAGCGGACATTCGAAGGACTAAACGAGACGTGGCACCCACACACTTTCTTACGGCCTGCGCTTCGCGTCTACTTCTCACTTTTCACCGTCTCTAGTTCATGGCTATATACTAGTTCACTATATCCATGGCACTGCGGCCAAACCATCGCTAAACCTTGCTGAAACCAAGGAGGTTACGCCCAGCGAGTTTAACGTGGCAACCCTTTCTGGTCAGATAGTGCTCAAAGTGCGTCCTTCTGATACTAGCTTTTTTTTTTTAGTAAGCATCAAATTCAAGGCAAAATTTATGTAAGATTAGGTCACCAATACTCATCTCTGTAAGTTATTTCACCAGGAACAACTATCTTTTAATCAACTGAAAACGGTGCGCACGTGCCGCTTCTCTAGCCCTGCAGGAAGTGGTTACCTACTACTACTACTACATACATGGCGGACGCCCGAGCCAGGGCATAGGAAGCTTTGCCCCCCCCCCCCCCCCCATGTCATGTTGCCCGTGTGCATGCAACTTGTGCGGGGCCTGGCATGTCCCCGTCAGAGTCCATCGCGTTGGCGATCCTTCTAATGCGTGAACGCAACGCAGGGCCTATACTGGCATGATTACGGCAGCCATGGTTCGCGAACAAGCCCGCATCTACAACGCAAGTGATGGAGTCGACAACCGGAGATGCAGCAAGCAGAAGTAGACGGTGTTTCAAGCAGCGCGTCGGCGATGATGCACGCCACGCAAGATTGGGAGAGGCGCTCAGCGAGTGGTGAAGAAGGAGTGATGAGCAACCAGAAGTAGACGGTGTTTCAAGCAGCGCGTCGGCGATGATGCATGCCACGCAAGATTGGGAGGGGCGCTCAGCGAGTGGCGAAGAAGGTGTGAGAGAGTATACCAGCGAAGGGAAGCGCAGCAGAGAGCAAAAGGTGTGGTTGTCATGGTTTCGATAATCAAACGTGTCCCATCTCGGAGCATTGTTCGCTGTCAGTGCTATTTGTACTGGCTCTAGGGAATGTAGTGGGAATGAAGCAGACTAAGAGATGAGAACATCACTTGTTCACTATGAGAACGTCATTTGTTTACATTTCTTAAAACAGGCTCGCAGATTTCGCTGAATCAAATGTTACTCCCCACATTTCAAAGAATGGTTTCAGTGTTCTAGCTTTCCTAGAACAAATGTTACCGAGTTTCAAAGTTCTTATTAGAAGGACACGAGAAAAAAACACTTGTCTTATTTCACCCTTGCTTTAAAAAAAAAGGGGGGGGGGGGGACACTTGAGCTTCTGCAGTAGGCTTTCGAGAATCGTTTTGAAATGGCAAACTTTATGGGCACAAATGTTCAAATCCTAGCACCATGTCAGAGCTGTTCACAGAGAAGCAAAAGCCAGGCTAGTGAGTGAGAAATCGTGAACAGAGCCCGATTATGCTATCCCATTCTACCCTTGAAACAGAAGCCCAAGAAAAGCTTGTCAGAAGAATATTGCATGGTTACGAAAATATAAAACACAAAATAACAAAAAAAAAACAGTTGCTGCTAATTTAACCCTTTTAGCCCTGGAATTTTTAGTTTGCCAGACAATATTAGTACATATTTCACTAATGGTTAGGGTCTCAGAAAACCACAAACGAAAAATTTAGTCAGTAGTAAGCATTTATGGATTAACAGCCATGACATCAAATTAGTTCATCATGGCCCTATAAGCATGAAATGACAAAGATGGCAAATTTATTGCTGCTATGCCCTAGAGTGCACAAAATCTGAACAAATGTACTATTTCAAAGTGTTGAAGCTCTTAAAACAGCCTCAGGACTTCAACCCAAAATTGCTGCTTTTCCGCTTCTGCTTGCCCGCGTCATCGTCATCAACGACCTCGGTCCAGATTCGCCTTCATTACGGCTCCATGCACCGCAAAAATGAAACAACTGTGATGTCAATCGCAGTAGGAATTGTTGAAGAAATATATCGCCAAGAATGAGCGGGTATGATTGAGCTTTCAAAGTTCTATAAGAAATTTTGTATGGTGTCGTCAATTGACGACACCAGGGCCGAAAGGGTTAAAATGCTGTTATGGCTAAAAAAATGATCTAGAATGCATGAAAATCGGTGATGTCAGGCATTGGTAGTGGAAGAATCCAAAATAATGTTTTCAGAATTTTTTTTTTGACACGTGGCTTTTAAATAAATAGAGGCTTCTCCCCTAAGAGGTTAGGAAATGAAACAAACACTTTTTAGAGTAGTAATGTATTTTCACTGCAGCCTTAGTTTCTTTCAGGTGGTAGCAGCCATAAAATTTCCAGCAAATAATTATATGGGTTTACATAAATGTTGTTACAAAATATGTCCCGAAACTTTATTAAAAAGGTTAAGAGAATCCTAATGCTATCAGGATTGTGACACTGAGCAAAAGACCCAACTCACTCTGAAAAAAGCCTGCTTCTTGACGTCCTCTGCATCTTTCTCGCTTGTGCCAAGGCGCCTCTCCGGGTTTTTCCTCAACAGCTGCAAGTATTGAAGAAATAAAATTTAGCATAAAACAGAAGCAGCTGATGATTTAATGTAAAGGCCATGTTCACTTGCCACACTATCGCTGCGAACCACTCACATGCTTCAGTAAAAAAAAAACAAAAAAAGCCCAGCTCACATATACCGTATTTACACGATTGTAAGACGACCCTTTTTTTTCAAATTTGACAATCCAATGTTGGGGGTTCGTCTTAGAATCGAAATCGAACCATGTACCTTAGAATCGAAATCGAACCATGTATTGTCATCTCGAATAGTTTCCCGCTCAACCCAAAGCGCATAGTTTTCCGCGTGCTTATACAAAAGCTTTTCTTTTTTAGATGCGGAGCATCTTATACTCGCGCCTTGTAGTGCGCCGTCCGCACCGCTTCTCGAACATTCGACAGCTGACGCGCGCGCATGCGCCGTCGCGCCGTCGCCCACTCTTCCACCATCTGTGCATCCCTTCCTCCTCTACACACTGCGCGCGCTTCACTCCTCCACCATCTGTGCACCCTTCCTCCTCTACACAACGCGTTCGACATCTACAATTCTGCTGATTCTCCAGTGGACGCGCATGTGGCGTCGCGCTTCGAGAACATTCAACAGCTGACAGTGCATGCGCCGTCGTGCTGTAAATATACTCAAGGTCGGCGCTCGCTCGCTCAGTTGCCGCTCGTCGGTTGGTTTGTACGGCGCGTCGACGTCCAAGGTCGCAGTGAAATGAATTCCAACGAATCCACAAACACAATGATCGACGTCCCTTCGACCAGCGCCGCCCTTTCGCATACGTGTGTACGTGTTCACTCATTTAACACCCCCTCCTACAACCACGTTAACCAATTTAGCCATCGACCCAAGTAAGTCGCACTTTAACACCCCGTTAACCAATTATATGGTCCGCATCCTCCTCAGTGTTCCCCCGAGGGAAGCTGCGGGCAATTTTTGTTAGCATCTACTGCGCGCGTTACGAGTGCCTTTATGACGAGCGCACGGCTCTTGAGGGAGCACCGGTAATCGATGGAAGAGCGGCCGTGGGGGGGGGGGGGGGGGGTATTGGTAGTTGACGGAAGAGCTCCTCTTTGTGATACAATTTTCTAAGCGGGCGCGTCGCCGCGTGCTCCTGTCGCTTGTGTCCACGACCGGCTCTCTCGAGTCACTTCTGTCTGACATGAGTGCCGTAGGCTCGAAGAACACTCGGCGCTCGTTTACGGCAGCGTTTAAGCGGGCTGCTATTCTTCATGCGGAGGAAACCAACAACTGTGCAGGAGAGCCTCCCTGGCTACTGTGTGCGGGTGGGTCCTCTCTGCATGGGCGGCCGTCCCACGCGATGCCGTGGTGCGGTCGTTCGCGAAGTGTGGACTCACACTTGACGACGACGTGCTGTGGAACTGCAGCAGCAATGACGGCAGTAGCACCAGCGAGGACGACTCCAGCGACGATGAATAATCCTCCGCAACCACGTGAATAAATTTCCCTTGTGTAAAATGCGCGCATTCTTTTTTTTTTTTTTTGAGATGCGATTTTGGGGGGGGTCGTCTTACATTCGAGTCGTCTTACAATCGTATAAATACGGTAATGGCCCACCTCAAAGCGAACTTGTGATAAAACAAACGATATCCGAGTGACTATAGAAATCGCATTACTTCAATGGCATAAAATTGCACTCAAAACTAACATCTCTGAGCCAAGTCGGTGCTCCGGCGACTGGCTAAGACACCACAATCACTGTTTTCGACAACCGATAAGCTATCAGGGAGGTGCCCAAGATTCTTATTATTGAACACCAAGCCTGCCTCTGAAGCCATCTAGATGTCGTTATCCCCAACTCTTTTTAGAGCAACAGCTGTATATCGCTAGGCGAAACAAAAGATCGTTCACCACAATAAATGATGTGCCCATTAGTTGCTCCATCAGTTTCGTCGTTCTCTACGTTGCACCAATGCGTGCATGCCATTAGGAGCGCTGCCAGTGACGTCACTCATTTCTTCACAGCTGTTCCACCGAGCACGTGTGCAGCAGTTTTAACAAGTGGCTTTCAAAGTGAAAAAAAAAAGAAAAAGAAAAAAGTGCTGTGTCATTTTCAGTGGAGGTCATCTGAACATTGCTGCACAAGAATGGAAAGTGGCAGAGAGGAATGTAGGAGACAAGGGAAGAAAAGGACGCAAGGAAAGCCATGTAGCAGCTAGACACGAAAGGAGGCAAGCCAGGAAGCTGTGTTGCAGGTAGAGCAGCATCAACAAGGCAATGATAGCAACACTAACGCCCATTTTCGGCGGGAGTTTCTTGAGCGGCACTTGGGCTTCCGCTGCGACGTCTGCAATATCCTGTAGCTGTACATTTCAGCTTCACTGGTTAACCATCTGTACGGAGTGCTTGGCGGTGATTTTTTTTTTGTCACACATTCCTTCGAACTTTGTCTCCCTGCTGCTCTTAGCACCCCGCATCACCAGTTCATGATTTGTTCAGTGTTTGGGGCCTGTTCTTGCTCATTTTGCACTCCACTAAGCATGCCCTCCACACATGAACAGAAGGATACAAGACGGCCGTTACACGGAATGAATCTCGAATTATCCAAGTTCAAGGGCGGGCTGTACAAGCCCTACCAAGTTCGATATTTTGCAATCCTATGCCTATCCCGAGTCAACTCTCCACCTTCGAAGAGAAAAGAAGACCGCATCGATGCATGCAGTGTGCGAGTGTGCTGTTCTCGCGCGCGTGCTTCATCTGCTGTGTGTGTCTTTTGATCCTCGTCGGACAGGCCCAAAATTTTTTAACATGCGAACAGCCAGTGCTACAATGCAATCCTCTGACATCTGCGTGTGTAGGCCACACGCAGATGTCAGGGAGGTGCAAAACAGGTCCCAAGTTTTACAACACATTAGTTGCGTATTTAATTAATTGACTTATTAAACAAGCTACCCGAGCTATCATCTCCTTGAGAGTTTTGGCTTTCAAAGTCACCTTCCTGCTGTTCTTGCAAATCTGCTCCTCCCTCTTTGCTATTATTGCACTCCTTTGCTTGTCTTTACAGCTCTGCGACGTCGACTCGCGTTATGAAGTTTCTTTTTCTGATTTCAAACAGGTCCAGAGAAGCTTTACATGTCCTTGATTGTTTATCGCATGTGGGTGCCTTGATAGCTGTTGATGTGCCTGTGTGGTCAAGATGGCGAAAGAGCAGGAGATGGCACGTAGCATTCTTGGCTACGTGCCATCTCCTGCTGCGCTAGGAGATGGCACGTAGCCAAGAATGCTAAGCTCAAGGCACTAAAAACTGCTATGCGGCAGCCAACCTTCCACGTCGAAAGTCCCTGTATTCAGCTGAGGAGATGGTGAATGCTTATTGAGTGGAGCTGATGGCTACATGCGTGCAAAACTGTCTCCGTGAGGCCGGCTTCTTAGAGGTCGGACTTAATGCCGAGCCTGAAGCTTCCTTCCGAAAAAGACCACTTTGACGGCGATTTGTAGCAGCGTGACATCGACTCTGACATGGGAGGGCAGGACATCTACTGGGCTGAATATGGTCGATGATGATGCCGATATTGTAAAACAATGCACGGATGAGGGCATTGTCAATGAAGTGCGTGGCCAGAGTGATTTGGAGGAATGATGACGACGTCCAAAGTCTGGAGACAGCGTCCACAAGTATGCCTGTAGCAATTAGTTACATAGATGGCATCAGGCAGCCGAGGGCATTGGCGAAGAATACGCGGCCACTCAAAATAAACTAGACCACATCCTTATCACATCTGCACCATCGAAACAAATGTGCATTCTGAACTTTTTTTTCGCGAAAAAAAAAAAAGAGACTAATTTTGTGTTTTCACACGCAACTGTTTGCAAGCCGCATTTAAGTTACTATGAACTTTGGAGTACAACGAACAGATGCCATGTCATGCTCAGGTTTGTTATTAATAGGCTCAACTGTATTACACAGTGTCTTGCAGCTTGCGTCTCAAATAATACCAAAAAATGAAACAACATAGCCTATTTTTAGCAATATTATATAAAATTCTCTAAATTTGCTTTGCTTTTGTGCCCACCAAGGCAAAGAAACACCAATGTGTGGAAATTGCAACATAAAATTACTCCGTTGAATTGAGAGACAGAATATCTAATTCTTTTAAAGTGAGCAAGAAACAATAGCGAAAAATAGTTACCATACATTGCAGACTATTATATGAAAGTTAATCATACAGAAGTTTCTCTGTTGAGCCAAATTTGCTCACTATTACACTGTGCCCACCATATAGTCGGCAATAAGTGCCCTCTACTCATTTTCTTGTAATTTCTGCTGTTTTAATATGCATAAAATCTTAGTAGATGAGCAATGAGCAAATGTTCTTACAGCTAAATGGTAAAGTGGTTTATAGCAGGGCATACATCTTGACGACAGCATTGCTCTTTGGAAGACAGTGTCCATGCAGACAGTGCCCTGAATTGACAAAACAATCAAAATGGCAAATGAACCCATACTCACTCTCCGCATAATGGCAACAGCCTCTATAGAGAGGAAGCGTGGATATCGAACTTCATCGTGCACAATGCTATCAAACACTTCTTCTTCATCATCACCAGGAAAAGGACTCTAGAGAAAAAAAAAATGAGAAAAAATGACAACCATGACAAAAAACAGTCATGGTGCAGAACATTGACCACAAGCAGCAATGTAAGCAATAAATGAGTGCGCCCCCCCCCCCAAAAAAAATCCCCAATTAAAGTTTTTTTACAATTTAGTGCCATTGTAAACTAATTTAAGAATAACTCCTTGGCCTAGTTGGTATACGCTGCGAAACTTGACTGTCATAAAAATAATGTAGCAGCAATGCAAACATGAAGAAAGAAAACCCAGAAAGTTCTTGTATATTTTCTGGCATTGAGTCCAGGAAACAATAACAGGCAAACGTTGCTACATATAAGGATGTATCTAATTTTGTCCATCAAACTATTTCCACGTACTTGAAAAAATTGCACGCATCTGAATTTTTTCACTTCAAATAGGATTGTATGTAATAAAACGGGTACACTGGCCTCCACACCACAAAGCATGTGCACTCTACTGACAGGTAGATATGGCCCCCATATGCTACACATCGATAGTGTCTGAACTCCCAAAACACCTGCACTTCTGCAACAATCTGCAGGTTTTCCCGCTACACCTTTGAAGATGGCAGAGGCACAACAGATCTCAACTTTTTCAGCCTAGACTGCAAGCCCACGGGCAGTGGTTTGCTTAGATTGACAATGCATTACATCTGATACACTTAGTTTTCAGTGGCCCTGCCGCGGTGGTCTAGGGGCTAAGGTACTCGGCTGCTGACCCGCAGGTCGGGGGAGATTGAATCTCGGCTGCAGCGGCTGCATTTCCTATGGAGGCGGAAATGTTGTAGGCCCGTGTGCTCAGATTTGGGTGCACGTTAAAGAACCCCAGGTGCTCGAAATTTCCGAAGCCCTCCACTATGGCATCTCTCATAATCATATGGTGGTTTTGGGACGTTAAAAACCATACATATCAATCAATCATTAGTTTTTGGTGCTGCTCTCATGCTCGCATCGACAACACTAAGGGCGCCATTTGGAACTAGCGGGTACACATTCTTGGCCAATTTGATAATGCACTGTATTTGATGCAGTGCTTTCCATTTTTGCTACGCACCATATGAAATGATGCAATTATGAAAGCCAGTGAACATTAAAATGCAGTGTGACCATTTTTATAGCCTTTCCTTTTTTTCTTTGACTTCTGAAACTTGTGACTTCTGAAGCGATGCGCCGACGCGTACTTGTTTTTCACATGTACTTTGCCCCATGGATGGACGCCTGTGTGCGCGCGCTTATCCTTTGGTGGGAGAATTGTGCGCCTTCGGCTTTCACTGAAACGAAAGCGTTAGTTGCCGGGCCCACAAAAGTCACTTTGGTCTCTGCACAGGCCCCTTTTGCGAAAACAGCGTGCCCCGGGTCAGTAGCCGAGCACGAAGGCTCAAACTAACTTTGAACACCACTAACAAGACCATGTGCTCAATGACCAGAAAATCAAATGCCCAGAAAATAAAAACAACTTAGCAGCGTATAAATGATGATGATAAGGCTGATTGACAAAGAAAAGTTTTGCCATTTTGCTAGCCAAGAAAGATCAGACATGGTCCCCGAGACTGGAAGATTGTGCGTGCTTCCTGTCTTGGAGGCTACACATTCAGCCACTGCAAGCCAAACTCAACCAAATTAACAAAATATTCAACATGGCGGCTTTCAAAATCGAGCGGCATAGTTCAAAACAGATGATTTAGTCCGGAAAATTGAACTTTGGAACATAAATTTATCCGAAATATTGGTTGCACGGATTGTGGGGTCTCAGCGAGGCGAACGAGCGCATCGCCCCGCCACGCTCTAGGAGTGAACGGACACAGCAGTCGCAGTCGGTACAAAGCACACAACATACATACATTTATTAACTAATTTAGACGACGATATCGTCCGCCGAATGATACACCAATTTCAACTAACACGCTACCATACAAACAACATAACGCAATGACACACTAAACACACAATAACATGGTAAACACACACTAACACATACCCAAGGCGGCGTCGCCACCGCCTGACTTTCCACGCGGCACCCCGGCGCGAAGCCCGCGGCGCCGAGCACCGGGGACCCACGCTACAGACAACCGTTCGCAGCAGCGGCCACGCGCACAAGAGGCTCGCTCAACTCTCGCCCACCACCAAGGCCTGCCTTCCGCCAGGGGCCACCGCCGGCGCTACCACTCTACCAACAGTGGTATTCAAAGTGAACACAACGCCATCTACCGCCCGGCGGTGGTCACCACAGAAATAAAGCCTTGGGGCGAGACACGTGAGCCACGCGGCGCAGACAACTTTACAGGGGGGGGTCAGCACCTTTACAGGATGCATAAGTGCAATGGGAACCTTGTGAAGTCCGAAATATCCAAGAACCTGAAAAATCCGTGAGCGAATTTCATGGGAGAGCAAATTACCTGAATAAACAGGGGACATCTCACTGCACAATACAACAGGAACAAAATGTTCATTAAGACCATGTGTGAGAGCCTGTGGTTTAAATCAATCTAGCAGCACTATGTGGCAGTGCTCGAACCTATAGGTTAAGAACTTTGGGCTCACCTCGCCCACCAGCATTTCAAAGACTAGGACACCAAGGCCCCACCAGTCAACAGCTCGAGTGTATGAAGTTTCTGTCAACACCTCAGGTGCCAAGAACTCGGGTGTGCCACAGAAAGTGCCCGTTCGATCTCCATAGCCCATGCCTTCTTTGCACAGGCCAAAATCTGCTATCTTCACATAACCCTCAGCATCAAGCAATAAGTTGTCCAGCTTGAGATCCCTAGAAGGAGAAAGAAAGCATTAAAAACACACACACATACACACAGGCCTTGCTGGGTCAAAACCGTGAAATCCATTCGTAGGCTAAAAAGGTAAGACCTATAATATACTTTGATTTATTATTAACAACCCCTGTTTAGCAATGAGATCCACGAATGCTTGAACAACCAAAAAGAGAAGTGTTCAAATAATTTGATTTGAAAATAAAATCCCAAGAAAATTCCTGCTAATCAGCTGTAGTAGTTTAAGGACACTCAAATAAAAGAAACATTCATATATGGCCCACTAAACTTAGGAATTTCTCACAGTTATGACTCATCTTCAGGTTCCAGCATGCCTATGTACTCCTTTTTGCAATTAATTTCGCTAGCTCATATGTATCTGCCCACAGATAGAGCTACCTACCATATTTTATTACATCGTCATCAGCCTTACTATGCCCATTACTGGGCAAAGGCCTGTCCCATGTTTATCCAATCAACCCAGTTGCATGCTTTCTGCAATCATATTATCCTTGCAAACTTTTTAATCTCATTTGCCCACCCAACTTTCTGCTTCCCCCTTACATGCTTGCCTTCATTTGGAATCCACTCTGTTACTTTTTATGAACAGCACTTATGTTGCCTTCTTGTCACATTTCCTTGGCATCTTCCTTTTACCAGGGCACTCTTTATGATGTCTTTGTCTATATTTCACATCAGAAACAACAATTGCACCAGTTTTTCGAAGTGTCTCAGGGTTATGTATTGAGAGCAGGTAAAAGTAGATTATATGCACATTGTTCATATTGCAACTTTAACAAGAAAACATAATTAAGATCTAAAATATAAAAAGCTATGAAGCTGTTACAAGACATTGCATGTAGCAGACATCCATCTGACTCTTGAGGGCTCTTGAAACTATTTCACAATACTCCTCCACTGAAGCAGCTGGAAATAGAAAGGAATGCAACAGCGTGCATATGCGAGGGCGGCTGAAGGTCCCTGGCACTAAAACTTTATAACCCAACTTTAGCGACACCGCACTCTGCACTGAATGAATGCAGCACTGTATCTAGAGATTCCTTAGTATTAGTTACCTATGCAATCAAATTAATAAAGACAGGTCATACTACTACTTTTATAAAAATCTCTTGGGTCTACAGTCTAACATGCCTTAAAGACAGGAGCTGGAAGAAAAATCTGACAATTGACAGTGAGAGGCAAACGAAGTAGCAGTATCTCTATTAGAATTACAAAAGCTGGTATAACTGTTTGCTGTGCTTAAGATCTGACATGCGAGGCTTGTGTGCTTCACGAAAACTTTCTCATGCACGCTCTGGCTTCAGCAAATGCAGCTGTGCAGTAGTAAGCTTTCACGGCATTAAAATGTTATGGTACACAGGGTATGCACTAATGGGTATGTGTAGATGTATAGGATGAACCATTGCAGCTTAAGCGGTCACTGAATGCATTAGGCTCTATGAGACTTGGCCGGAGATTCGTCACAGCTAGATTTGAACCATTAGTATATATTCAAAGTAGGTACATATTAACAAGGTTTTACTTTATCACTTCAGCTTAGAACATAATGCCTTGCACAACCATGCAATATTTAATGCCTACGTGTGCTCAAAGGCCGCAATTAGAACCTTCAATAGGCATGCCTGAGCCAGCAGGCTTGAAGCCCGAGGTCAAAGCTTCAAGCCTGGACATAGCCTGGGCCCTCCGAAGAATGCTTTGAACAACCGGCACAGTACTCTTATTGGTACAAGATGATTTATCAAAATGCGAAGTAGGCATTGCATAAGCAGCCTAAACTAAGCGACCCCCCCCCGACGGGCTCCTTTACATCTTACACCACCATATGAATTAAAACAAGCAATTAGAGCAGAAAAAGCATTACAAACATTAATTGGTAAAGTGATGAAATGCATAGAATTGATAATCACTGATAATCAATAAACATTAAGGGTTCTTCTACTGCCTCGTTATTTCATAGACTTTGCAAATACATGTGCTTCTACACACTGATGACGAGGTATAAAAAAAATTCCCAATATCAACAAATTCATTGTATAGAGATTAGTTTTAAGCAGCTTTAGCTCTACTTTGATTGAAGTCTTCATTTTATCCCACACTGTCATTTTTTCCACCTTTTTATATGAACATCCCTAGTCCATAATCTAATGAGAGTCACACCCAGTTTTTAGGCTCCTAAATAAAAAATTCATTTGCATGTAATGTTTTAAGTTAATTAAAACAGGAGCTTGCCCCTACACTAGCAATCAGGAAAAAAAGATGGCAAACAATGCGCCCTCATAGAAGGTGAAATTTATTCTGCAGGAAGTTCCATTCGTTAAGCCATTAAGTTAGGATGGCTTTAAAGGGGGATCCTACAGCACTTTTAAAGAACATACTTATTTGTAGTAGTAGTAGTAGTAGAAAACTTAATTATGTACATAATCCAGACAGGCTTGAATTCGAGTGCCCCGAGGAATATAAAGGGTGAAGAGCGAAGTCTGTCCAGTGGGGTGGTGCCCCTATTCCAGGGCCCCCACTAGCGCGAGCCATCCGTTCAGCTCTGTGGATCAGTCACAGCTGATCCACTAGGGCTGGGCTAGACAGCGGCGCCTCCCATTCCTCCCACGTGCCAGTGATGTTGTGTTCTTCGTCGTGCTCTGCACACTCCCACGTGATGTGAAAGAGTGATGGGGTGGCTCCACACCACGGGCATATATCTCTGTACGCCATGGGGTAGATCAGGTGAAGAGTGTGCAGGTTTATGTAAGTGTTAGTCTGTATTCTTAGCGCTGTTGCCTCTGCAGCGCTGAGCTTGCTATGAGGACGTGGATACAGCTGCCTATTTTCCCTGTAGTACTTTAAAATCGTTGCGAAACAAAGGTCCAGGGGTGTAAGGTCATCACTTGCATTGTCTTGAGTGGCTCGGTGATTTGTGAAGTCTCGAGCCGCCTCGTCTGCGCGCAGGTTCCCTGTCAGGCCCTCGTGCCCCGGTGCCCAAGTCACAGCCTGTACGTATTTTACTGTGGGGTCCCATCCAGTCTTAACCAATATACGGAGCGCCTGTGCTCCAATTTTGCCCTTTAGATAGTTTCTGCAAGCCTTTTGCGAATCTGTAATGATTTGTTAATGGAGCGTTTTGTGTCCATTCCTCTTTTATTGCGAGTGCTATGGCAAGCTCTTCTGCTTGTGTTGTCGACGCCTGATCTATTGAAGCGCAGGCTGTAATTTTCCCTCTATGGTCGGTGACTACACACACACATCTCTTTGCATTAGTCTGATAAGGCACGGCGTCAGTAAATCTGGCCAAGTTCAAAAATCTTGTCATTTTGTCAATGTAGTCAGCCCTTGTCTTTCTTCTTCCAGCATGCAAAGTAGGATCCATGTTGCTTGGTATTGGCAATACGGTGTACCATTCTCTAGGTTCGCTTGGTACTTCTTTAGTTTCTTCAGTGTTTGTAATAAAGTATCGCACCCTAGTTTTGTTAGGTCTGCTCTGCCCGTTAGGGTCTGGAGAAGGCGATTTTTTTGCGCTAGTAACTGGGCCTCGGATAATTCTTCAATTGTGTTATGAAGACCAAGCGCCAGTAGCTTGTCGTTTGAAGTATTCCGCGGCGAAGTATTCTGTTGGGGATAACTTGAGCAAATGTCTAAGAGCCGATATCAAATAATTTAGCATTTTAATCCCGCAATAAAGTCTGCATTCCTGCTGACCCCATCAACATACCGTATTTACTAGCATAACTTGCGCCATCGCATAATTTGTGCACCCCTAATATTTTGTGAGCTTTATGAAAAATAAGATAGATATATTTAGTCACATAATTTGCAACTCCCCAACCCGGCTCCGCCTGCTTGCCCCGTGCGCACGAAAAGACCGTGGACCTTTGGATTCTTTGGACGGTCGCGCGCCTCGCCGATCAGGCAAGTGCAGTCAAATGGGCTGTGAGTGCGAAGTCACTTTTTCCAAAGACTTCTCCAGAACTAGGGTCCCTAAAATACTGTGCACGAACCCTCAAACCTCTTAATGAGCCACCAGAACTGCTTGAGCGTTTATCCCCTTCTATCTATCCATCTCTACCACCGTGTGAATGCACGCTCACATCACGGCACAGACAATTTTTGGCACAAGAGACGTGTGAGGGCCTGTTCCGCCAACTGTTTCCTTCATTCTCTGCTGCGCACTGCGATGGATGCTTGGTTGACTTCAGAAGTTTAGGTTTCGTCATCCGTCCTTCGAGTTTTTACTGTCCTCTTGCGATGGGCTACAGTAATTATATACACTGCACAATTCAAGGTTGCTGTTGTGAAGTTTGCAGAAAAAAAAAAAAAAAAAAAAGAACCATGCCTCCACGAAGCACTTCAGGGTGGAGTTCTCCAACGTGTGACGATCGGTGCGATCGATACGGAATAAATTTAGGAAAGTGCATGCTTGCTGATGAAAGTTCTCTGCCATTGAAAAAGGACTTTTTCAATTATGTGCTAATGCTTAGGTCCTCCGGTATCGCCGTGCCATGGGACCTAGTTTCTTCCAGCATTGTCGGGATATTCGAACCCGCTGGACAGAACCGAGGACGATTAGCTTTGAGAGTGTGGTGCCAGCAGTCGCGATGATGATTCTAAGTCGGACCTCTGGATCAGTGATTCTGACTAGACAGCGTGTGACCGGATCTGACAAGTTAAAGTACGTGCTAATTCTGATAAATAAACAAGTACACTGTTCGTGCTCCAATTTATTTCATTTTCTTTAATGTATATACTTTGAGCGTTAGGACTATTGCACATTATTTCATATGCGTTCGCGAAATTCCCACGTAATTTGCACATACCCTTTTCAAAGCCTCAGAATCACACACACAAAAAAAGAAATGCCCAAATTATGCGAGTAAATACAATATATAATGGCACTTGCCAGAACTATAGTGGGAGAAAATGATTGTAGATGGGGCAAGCCTATGATTGAATAAATGTAAGCGATTGTGTCACAGCATGAAAGTGAGATGACTAATGTGTTTTGTTTTTCTTCTGTTCTTTTTCATTAAACCCAAAACAAACGCAGTAACAGCAAGAAAGATGCTCACGACTACAAAGTATGACAGAAGTGCTGGCAACCATTTCACCTCTTGATTTTTTTGCTTGTGTGGGTTGCATGTCAATATGAAAGGCTTCTCTCTCTTCCCTTGTTTTGCTTCTGTGCTTCCACAAGCTGCCTCTTCCTGCACATGTAGGAGGCTCTTGATTGTTGTCGAATCAGTGCAAGTAATCCCCTTCGTTGAATTGATGACGCTGCACCCTTGAAGTTTGTCGGACAGCTCACTGAACAACCCTTGGAGGGTCAACAATGCTTCACCACCCTGGTCATTTCATTATTTTCCTTCTCAGAATGAGAAGAGAGTGAGCAGGAAATACCTCGCTTCAAAACAGTATTCAGGTGTCGAATTATTTGTTGGGGTTCAACGTCCCAAAACCACCATATGATTATGAGAGACGCCGTAATGAATGGTTCCGGAAATTTAGACCACCTAGGGTTCTTTAACGTGCCCCTAAATCAAAGCACACAGGCCCCAAGCATTTTTTCCTCCATTGGAAATGCAGCCGCCGTGGCCAGGATTTAATCCCGTGACCTGCGGGTCAGCAGCCGAGTACTTTAGCCACTAGACCACTGTAGCGGGTGGCAGAACAGGTGTTAGGCACCACGCTTATTACAATCACCATGGCAGCAACAATCCGTTGGAAAGCACAAGCAAAAATTGTGTGTGAGCTTCCTCTACATAGGTGCTTTCAGCTTATTTCATCGGGCCATTTCACTCTTCCACAGTCACAGGGAGAGTCGAGGTGAGTGAAATGTGGTCAGGTGACCCCGAGAAAATCTAGTTGAGGGTAAGCATTTTTTTCTTGTATTTTGAATTTTCTAAATAGAGTAATTTTAGACTCTGGCTATTATCGCTGCCGTTATTGCTGCATTAATCTGTCCGCTCAATCTATGCAACCAACCCACAAGTAAAAAATTGGGGGTTATTTAGTGTTGGAGAGTCCCTTTAAGGTCACTTCTGGGTACACCTTGACTGTGTGCTGTTTCAAGGGCCACTGTCTTGGCAAGCTTCGTTGACACGCAGCTGCTTGAGAATGCCTGCAAGCTTGTTTTTCATGCTCTCAACCCATAGAAACTTTTCCCAGTTGACATGCAGCTGAAGGTTCAGGCATCAATTTAACGAAGGAATTGCACAGCTACAAAAATAAATGAAAGCATTCTACATATGTGAAACAAAACAGCTTGCAAACATACATAAGGGGAGGAAACAGAGAGCAGCCTTTCATATGACACCTGACCTGTGGAAGCGAAAAGCCAGAAACAAAATGGCCATCAGTGCCTTTGTTGGGCTTTGCAGTTGTAGTGATTTTTTTTCAATGTAACATCACCTATTCCGAGGTTTAATGAAAAAGCACAGGACAGAAGAACAATACCCAATAGTATTTTCAGTTTAGATGCCAAAACGCGATCACCTATGTTGAATTTATCCAATCGTAGAGGCCTACACGATTACCCATCATTCCTGTTCGCAATAGTCCTAGCGAGCGCCACTACACTTTGAAGCAGTCTGCAGTGCTGTAGCGACCTTATTGCGCGATACTAAATCATTTGATATCGAGTGCTTTTACCTATGCTAAAATTACCAAGAAAAACAAAAAACAAACAAGTGCTTTCAAAGTGTTGGAGAGCCCTGGGCAAGCCCTCTTACTGAATGATTTGAAGAAATGAAAAAAGCAAGGCAGGGTCTATAAAAATATTCTTGCCTGTAGATGATGCGATTTTCATGAAGAAATTGAAGCCCCAGAACGACACAGGCAGCATAAAAGGCAGCTCGAGGCTCTGGGAAAATGTCATTATGGATGTGCATCATCAGGTCCCCGCCACAGGCATACTCCATCACAAAGCACACATGATTCTGCAACCGAAAAAATGTTACACTTGAATGCTCATACAGAAGTACCATCGATTAAATGTGAATACAAAAACCATGATCTGTATGAATGAAAAAAATTAACAATATCTGTAGGAATTCAACGTCCCAAAACAACCATATAAATATGAGAGACACCGCAGTAGAGGGCTCCAGAAATTTCAACCACCTAGGGTTTTCTGACGTGCACTTAAATCTATGCACACAGGCTTATCAATGAAAAAATTAAGCTTTGCCTTCTTAACAAGTACTATTTATTAACCCTACAATGTTTCCTATATACCACAATCTTTAGCAAACAAAAATAACATAGGCTTATATGCAGTTCCCATAAGTCTTGTTGCCTGAGTGGAAAGTGATGAAAGACAAAGAACTATTGATAAATTAACAAGATATTGATAACTCCATTGTACTACATAAAACATACATATACGACTGCAAATAGTGTTACTACAGATATTTCAATACATGATAGATAATTTAACAAAATATAAATTATCATCAATAATGAACCAATCCTTAATTAACAGATCATGCAGGTGGGAACAGAGCAGTGCCTACATGTTTAAGGTGCAGTGGCTGTGCTCAGTAAATCATGTCTTGCATTTATAGTATGCTTGTTAGTAGGAACTTCCCTAATTCGAACTAAGTTATTTTGAAATCCCACTTAATTCAATATATTTACACAGTCCCCTATTTAGCAAGCAAGCCTGTGTAGATAATTTGAAGCAACGGTCAGCACCAGTCCAGTTAGTTCGAAAACTTTAGGTGTCATGTGCTAATTGCCGATTTCATTTAGTGCCACAAATTCACTAAATGATGTCTTTTAAGAGTCACAAGGCAATGCGGCTTAGCAATACTAATGAGTGGAAGCTGAAGCACCTCAGCCGCGCTACTCCCAGCGCAAAAAAAAAAAAAAAAAAAGTCCCGTGATCAACTAAAATAAGCACCTTTGAAAAACAAGATGTGCTTCGCTGCAGTACAGTGGTGACGCTTGGGCAGCATATTGCCTGCTTCTCACAATGTCAGCACGTCACGACTTACGCATTCTTTCTAGGAACCTTAAGAAAATAATAAAGGACAGTTTTGCGAAATTCTCGATATATGCGCTCCTTCGATTGGCGGGTGCTCCAGCAATTTGCGCATTTGCAGTGCTGGCAGAGTTTTTGCTTATTATGCCTACTTCGAAAACCGAGTTTGACAGCTTCAATGACCATTTTTTTCAGCTAAAACACTTCACGAATTTTGTTAGACTGGCCATTACTCAATTCTTTATTTTAGCAGAAAGAATAGGCCAATGGTCGCATCATGACGCGCTGACGCAGCAAGGAGTGCGCATCATGCTACCCGCTTGTCACCACTGTATTGCAGTGAAGATGTCTTGCTTCATGCAGGCGTAACCATTGCTGGAAAACAACCGTTACTGCCGCGAACTTGCTGGAACAGCAAACGACCAGCCTCGATTTCTTCAAATAACTTCAAGTTCCTTGCATCCCACTTTCAATATGTTCCATTAATTTGAAAACCCATTTAATTCAAAGATTTCTCACAACCCCAGCGACTTCGAATTAACGAGCTTTTACTGTACATCATATAAACAGTAGAGCACCATGATTTGCATTACCAAAAGTTAAATAACGACTAAAGGTCTAGATAAAGTCCTGGGTAGCATGCATGCGGGACTACGCATGGCATGGAGAACTTATAGTCTGGCGTCCAAGCACTATTCGGCATGCTCCGTGTGGCTGGCACAGAGATAAAGCAAGTTTTTATTTCATGCACTCCACATAGCTCGCGTTGGACCGCAATGCACTGTGCAAGGCAGTGGCAGGTGGCATGTGCGCCGTGTTTGGAAAGTGCAGCTGTGGTTTACTCGACAATGATCGATGGCTATATGGTTCTGTCTGTTCGAAGGGATTAAGATGACATGTGCATGTATACCAGCAACAGCGTAGACTTCCGAGACAAAGAAAATAATAAAAAAAAAACCTGAGAAGCTTCCGCACTTCATTCTCGTACGTAGATACATGATCCCCTTTTGTTTCTGATGCAACCCCTATTTACCCATTTTCTTGCTCACAGAGCATTTAATGCATTGCTTGTAGAGAAAGACATTACTGATGCCAATATCTAACAGTACACAGAGCAGAAAAAAAAAAGCACGTCAACCAAAATGCATGGGAGAGAAGCTGAGAGTGAGAAAAAAGTGTACATATCAACCAAAGAGCGCAAAGCCATAAACACATTTGATGAAGAGAGTGCCCAGTCACGTTTCCGAAGCTGCTCGACACGGCATGATGTGCGCACCCGTCTCTACAGTGAAGAATTGGCTGTTGTCGCTGTCTGCACGTACCCAGTCAGATCTGACCTCAGCGCTCCTTGGAGCACACACTTTCCGAGACTCGGACCCACTAAAATTTTTCTCAACCAGACTCACTAGGACTCAAACTCACCAAATATTACTTACTAAAACTCACTCATACTAAAACTTACAGTACAATCTACGAGAAGTCCAAGGTCTCAGAAAGTTTACTCCTGAGTGAATTCGCCGACCTATGGGAACACTTCATACAAGAGGCAAAAACTCCTGCTTGGAATGGCATAAAAAGAAATTTGAAATCAGCTGTGAAACTGGAAGGCACTAGCTTAAAATTTTACAGAATCTTGAATATAGATATGAGTGGAAGTGTGTATCATATAGTGTTTAGGGGCACGCGAACAGTGATTTTTTCGGAACTGAATGGAATACGAATAAAAAAAGTGCTGACACCGATTCGAATTCTAATAGTAATCGACTACTGTTCAAATAGTTCACAAATCGTAAGTAGACCTTTTTAAAAAGGTCTTGGAACACCACAGCCCTTTTTTAAAAACAAAAATTCAGAAACTCTTCATTAAAGACCACTAATTAGTTTTAATTGACTCAATATAGCACAACAATTACGAAAACTAAGGTAAGCTTGTATGCAGCAGGAAATACAGGCTTCGTAATATTTTGTAACAATAGGGTCTAATGCAGCATTCACAAATGTTATGAATGTGAGACTTTGTTGCCTGATTTCAAATAAAATTGGGACACAAGAACGAAACAGTTTTCAACCAAAAACTGTGGATACAGCTGAAGATGCAATGCCACAGATCAACTTGTCTTCACAACATGGCATGTGCGCAGAAAGCATGCAACAATCCATGTTTAAATTTACATCTGCAAGAGCAATTTATACAACAGTTGAATTTCTTAGTCATGAAGCTGCAAGAAGTCTTAGTCGCCACCTTATCCTATTACAAGATGAAGATTAAAGCTGATTAATTCCATACAGCTTCAGCATAAAAAGTGAGTAACAGGGAGCTTTCAGAAGAAATACATACATTCGGCAATCAATATAGTGTCAGTAGCCCCGTAAAAGCTTGAGCTACAAGTAGATCACTGCTTATTTTAGTAGATCACTACTAAAATAAGCTTTAGCTGTTCGAAAGTTTTGTTGTTTTAAGGTTTTCCGATTGGTGCCGATTATTCGAAAACTATTAGAAAAATATTCGGTTATTCAAATATTTCTAACATTTACTATTGTGTTCGAGTACAGAATCAAATACAGTGCTAATCGATTCGTTAGTGAAAATTTTTGAATACTTGCACACTCCTAACAGAGTTATGCTTGTAGATGCAATTTCTAAGGGGACATACCTGCTCGATGGAGTGAATAGTTAAATATATTCAAGTTTGAGTGCATTTCCCAAAAAATTCCAGATATGAATCTTCAAAACAAAAGCATTTCATGGTTATGGTCACCAACAAAGAACCTCATGAGGCATCTACTGAACCACTTTAAAAAGCTATTTGCAACTTATGACATTACCTTTTGCCAGGGTTTTCTGTAAACACTTAAAGGGTTCTGCACTTGATGTCAACATAAGGACATATGATAGATAGGAATGGACACTGTATACTGCCAGTCCTAACATGTATGGGGCTAAACCATGGAGGATAACAAAGCAACTAGAGAAAAAGTTCAGCACCATGCATTGTGCAATGGAACAAAAAATTATAGGAGTAACATTAACGGATCAGAGGACAGCAGAAGTTGGGCCCAACTGATGGCCTCTCACAAAGCTCCATTGTCAATTTTAGGTATGGACAGGAAGTTCTTAGTCAAATGCCATGGCTGGCGAGTTTGCAAGAAGTCCGTGTAGTGCAGAGTAAGTAATTGTGCATGTGATTGAAGCACCCCAGTCGAAGCATGGCTTTGACACACCACCTTCTGCTTGAAATTGACCGTCCTAACGTAATGCAGCCATTTCATATTCTGATGCCACAATTGCCAGCATGTAATTTACACTTCGAGGTTGTTCCTTTGCAATGAACAAACCCTGTTTGGGACCTTTGGAGAAAAAAAAAACCTATGTGGGCCAGTGATGCAGCCTACGATGCGCCAGAAATTTGAACCCGTGCTCCCAGTAATAGTGCTTCCACTGCAAACAGATAATTTTTCCTCTTTTCATATGCGCTGTACTTGCTTCAATTTTCCTTAGTAAACTACACTGCTGGGCCACTAACACAACTCAATATTTCTCGTTTACGACATCCCAATAGTGTTCTGTCATCAATGGAAAACCAAGCCATTCATGGAGCAATATCCAACTCATGAGGCCAGATTCCTTAGCCAAATTTATTAGCAGCAATAGTATGCAATGTCCTTAACATAGAGGTACACTAAAACCTCATTATAACAAAGTCACATCTGCCATGACAATACTTCGCTATATCTAGAAATTTCTTATAAAAAGATTATTAGTAACACTATTATAAGGGTATTCTTCATGTACTTCATTATAAATAATAATTTGTTATATAAAAAGATTCGAGTGCATTTCTTCCAATATTTTGCCATGTGAATAAATAAATAATAACAAAAAAGAAACACCTGCATCAAAATTCACAAGTACCAATAAAATCACATCTGGTTGTGAAAAATAACTGACTTTAGCATTAAAATCAAGTAAAAAATGACCACTAATTAAATTTGGGCTCGCTTAGTCATTTTAGAATGATTTTATTGTTGAGAGGAAAAAAAAAATAAAATTTTTCATGAACCAAGTTTCCTATATAGCTTGTCATAACTTGTTAGATGCCATACAGATATGAACTTAGAATCATGATATATACACATGACACCTTGAAACATTTAACAGTCAACCGAGATCCTGCCTAGCATGTATTTACATATTTACATGGTCTCCAGAACCACTGAAGCAGACAATGTATTGACAAGAGCGGCAGAGAGAATGACAATGGTAGGGGAGACGTTCACTAAAAAGCGCTAGCTTCAGAGCCGGCCGAACAATCACCCCCTGGTGGAGAAACCAAATAGATATCAGCACAAAGGGCCAGTTTTTTAAACTAATAAACCAAAATCTACAGTTGGCTGGAAAGTAAATTTATTCCCACAACTTTATCCAGCCAGACAGATTTCTGTCAAATATGTTTACCTTAAAACCTTACCATAAAGTGCACAATATTGCTACGAGAAGTTTCAATGTTTTCCAATAAAGGATACTCACCACAGTCTGGAAGCAGGCGAATAAGTTGACGAGGAATGGGTGCTGAACAGAGTTTGCCACCTCAAAAATTCGTTTCTCTGCCATAAGGCTTTCGAGCTCGTCTCGAGCCACAATGTCGCCCTTTTTCAGAGCTTTAATGGCAAAGTATTGGCTTGATACTTTGTGCTTACTCAAAATGACCTGCAAGTATAAATGAAGAGGTTAAGAGCCTCTTTCTAATGCACATGAGAATACAGTCAAACCCCCTCATAAGAGACAAATGGCTACAAGAGACAGGAGTGTGCCTACAGTAAAATACGGGTTAAGAAAATGCATGCGAGGTACCTAGGTTATAAGAGAAATCTCGTATAAAGGACAAGAAATGCTGCCCAGAACATACCTCTTATAAAAGGGTTTAAAACAACAATGCAGAATAAAAATATTTCATGCTTCAATTTTTCATGCAAGTGCAAAACTAGAGTGCACATTTATTAACTAGCAGAAGAATTTGCAGAAGTACATTGTTTGGGCATCATAAGCATTTTATTATCCCCTATGATGATCATTTGCACCAATATTATTAGTACGACTAGTTCAAGACTTTTCAACTTCGCCATATAAGTGAGAGTTCCTCGAGAGCAATGACAATGGCAGTTAATTTATACAGTAGATTCTAAGTAAATGAAAATCTCCCGAATAGAACTGCTGCTTAAACAGAACTACTTCCTCTAGCATGATTGGTTTCTTACAACTCCTGTTGAACAGAACACATTTTCCTGGTCCCATCAGGTTCTATTTAAAGGGACACTAAAGGCAACTATTAAGCCGACACTGATGGTTGAAATAGTGACCCAGAAACCTTGTAGTGTTACTTTTGTGCCAAGGAAGAGATTATCTTAAAATAAATTCACGTTTTAGTGGTCCGCGTTGGATTAGTGCACTTCAATTTACCCACCACAAGAAGCGGACCGTTTCACGCCACTGTTGCAGTTCACAAAGCCCGACTTTACTGTGCGGTCACCAACATTAGTAGAGGGAACTAAAGCAGCGGGAGCCACAGTAGCAACAACGGCCTTAGAACGATTTCTTGTCATTGGCTCCGAGATGCAAGGCGTGTTTTGGTTCAACTGCCCCTCACCAGATGGCACAACCTGTCCAATTTAAACATGCGAAAATTAAATTGCTGAACCACTCGCGCCATTACCCATAGTAACGTCCAGTGGTTTTTTTTTTCCATGAACCAAACAGAAACGAACAAGCAGCATTTCATTGAGTCTCTTGATGCATGGAAGGTTCTTTAGTGCAGCTAGATCGATTACAAGTGATTATTTGAAGATGGTTCGTCAAGCGTCATCGGGATCATTTTGAGAATGTCCTACTGCGGCGCACATATTATTGTGCATTTACCTTAATTTCTCGGCAAGTAGGGCACTGCTGTTGATAATATTGTGATTTTAGATGTTGTCATACATTGAACTTTCCCTCTGATGTAAATTATTATTCGACATTAGTGTCCCTTTAACATGAGTCTACTGTACTTATAGCATTTTTTACGCAATATGCATTAAGCAATTACCTTTGTAAATAGCTTGTATACTACGGAGAGCAAGCTGATCAGCCTGTATTTTTTCAAGTCCTTGTCATCTCCTTTCTTATGGATTAGGATGATGTTAGCATTCTTCCAAAATTCTGGTACTCTTCCCGTCAGAAGGCACCTCGTAAACAGGGTCGCTAGTTTTTCTAACACAATCTGTCCTCCATCTTTCAGCAGATCTGATGTTACCTGATCCTTACCAGCAGCTTTGCCTCTTTGCATGCTCTCCAAGGCTTTTCTGACTACTTCTATCATTACCGGTGGGGTGTCATCTGGCTTACTGCTAGTTGTTGTATTAAGGTCGTGGTTGTGCTGGCTCCTGTAGAGATCTCTGTAAAACTCTTCCGCTATTTTAACAATTCTATCCATATTGGTAGTTATTTTGCCTTCTTTGTCCTTTAGTGCATACACCCGATTTTTGCCCAGCCCAAGTTTCCTCTTGACTGCTGTGACGCTTCCTCCGTTTTTCAGAGAGTGTTCAATTCTCTCCATGTTATACCTTCTTACATGGGATACCTTACGCTTATTAATCAACTTCGAAAGCTCTACCAACTCTATTTTGTCTGTGGTACTAGAGGCTTTTATGCTTTGCCGCTTCTTAACGAGATTCTTCGCTACAACTTCCACTGCACACTCCGTAAAGATACTCGTCAGATTATCATTCATTGTATCTATGCTGAGGTTGGTTTCCTCACTAAGAGCCGAGTACTTGTGCTGAAGCGAGACTCTGAATTCCTGTACTTTCCCTCTCAGTGCTAGCTCATTTATTGGCTTCTTGCGTATCAGTTTCTGTCGTTCCTTCTTCAAGTCTAGGCGAATTTGGGACCGTACCATTTTATGTCACTGCATCGTACCTTGCCAAGCACTTCCACATCCTGTGCGATGCCTGGGTGTGCACTCAGTATAAGTCTATTGCTAACAAAATTAAGACAACATTAAAATTCAATCAACCAAAGCAACAAGCAGGATTTCGAACAGGCTACTCAACAATCGACCACATTCATACTATCAATCAGGTAATAAAGAAATGCTCAGAATATAACCAACCACTATACATTGCCTTTATAGATTACGGGAAGGCGTTTCATTCAGTAGAAATATCAACAGTCATGCAGACAATGTGGAATCAGGGCGTCGACAAAGCATATGTAAACATCCTAGAAGAAATCTACCAGGATCAACTGATTGGTATTCTGTTGCTTCATCAAGAGAGCAACAGAATACCAATCGAGAAGGGTGTAAGGCAGGGGGATACTATCTCTTCAATGCTATTTACCGCGTGCTTACAGGAGGTTTTCAGAGGCCTAGAATGGGAACAGTTAGGAATAAGAGTTAATGGAAAGTACCTTAGTAGCCTACGCTTCGCCGATGACATTGCATTGCTGAGTAACTCAGGGGAAGAATTACAACTCATGATTACGGAGTTAGACAAGGAGAGCAGAAAAGTAGGCCTTAAAATTAATTTACAGAAAACGAAAGTAATGTACAACAACCTCGGAAGATAACAGCGGTTTGAGATAGGTAATAGTGCACTTGAAGTTGTAAAAAAGTACATCTTCTTAGGACAGGCAGTAAGTGCGGAACCTAACCACGAAATAGAAATAACTAGAAGAATAAAATGGGGTGGAGCACATTTGGCAAACACTCTCAAAGCATGAATGATAGTCTACGACTGTCCCTCAAGAGGAAAGTATATATAACAGCTACATCTTGCCGGTACTAAGCTACGAAGCAGAAACCTGGTGACTTACAAAGAAGGTTCAGCTTAAATTGAGGACGACGCAGCGAGCAATGGAAAGGAAAATGGTAGGTGTAACCTTAGGAGGCAAGAAGAGAGCAGAGTGAATTAGAGAACAGACCGGGGTTAAGTATATCATAATTGAAATCAAGAAGAGGAAATGGACATGGGCCGAGCATGTAACCCGTAGACAGGATAACCGCTGGTCATTAAGGGCAACTAACTGGATTCTTAGAGAAGGCAAGCATTTTAGGGGGAGACAGAAGGTTAGGTGGGTAGATGAGATTAAGAAGTTTGTGGGTATAAATTGGCAGCAGCAAGCACAGGACCGAGTTTTTTCGAAAAGTTAATTCGAGCGCGAAAACTTGACACGCTCACACACACGCACATTTCGTGCTCGAATTAACTTTTCGAAATGCTCTACCAACTAGCCCAACAACAAGTTCTTTTACAGGACCGAGTTGACTGGCGAAACTTGGGAGCAGCATTTGTCCTGCAGTGGACGTAGTCAGGCTGATGATTTTGATGATGATGCATTAAGCATCCTGCCATTAAGCATGCCTCTCAAAGGCCTTTACACAATACTTACAACAAGAACACCAAGGTGGTTTAGAAAAGCTGAACTTTCAACAAGCAGGCGGAAAAGATCGGGCACTGATGCTCATTCTAATCACACTACAACACCTATACTACATTGATGTGGCATGCCACAGGTCTTTTTGTTTGTTTTAGAGTCGTGCAAATAGCGATAGTTTGGGTGCAAAGGAAATTCGAATATTGAAGTACGAGTGAATCGACTTGAGTATTTTTCAAATAGTTGAAAGTGAAACTGCAGAAAAAAAAGCTGGAAGATCTTTAAGCATATTCTTATGAGATAGCAACATGAAAGTTTCTTTTTACTAGGTTGATGAAGCACCGGCAGGATGGTATTTCATAGCTGTCTTACCAAAAATGAGGCAACGCTGAGGCTGAATAGTATTAGTACATGATTAGGTGCAACCAACGTGTTGCTGGCAACACTTGACATGTGAAAGGCAAAGATGCTATTTCCTAAGCCACTCCTTATTTTTCAACTTCTGTTGAAGCCCAACTGATGTTGCAGACAAGGTTGAGCTTTCCTCGAGTTCCAAATCTGCCTCATGGAAACTTGAGGTGCTAAAAATCTTCAGCGTCCAGTTTTTTGTTAGAGTCCAATCTTTCAGACTTCCTGCCCAAATTCCAGGGCCAAAACGGCATTCATTGATTCCCCACCTCTGCCACATTTACCACCTCCATGTTGGAACCACTGTTTTATTGAGCGAATACATTTGCGACCGTACCAGAGCCTGCAAGGCAGCTTTGCTGCAATAGGAAACTGTGATAAGGTGAACCATTTGAAAATCTGAAGGGGCCACTCACTACACACTGGACGCCTACGCAGGCAGATCGGCAAAGCCGAATTAACTGACTGACAAAAAATGAGGGAAGCACACGACTACAATGAAGACACAATTACATACTTGGGCACCTGGTGCAACAAATTTGTCAACAAAAGAACATCAAACAAAAGAAATAGTCCAAACAACAGAAATTCCAAAGGTGGATTCCTATTTGCTACATTTGAGGGATGCCAAAAGAGGATTTACCCATTGCTGATAAACGCAGAAAAACAACAGGAAACTGAGGACATCCATTGCGAAAGTAACAGCGAATGTGGAAGAACATGCCATGCAACTCGCCTCGGCGAACTGGTATAAATTTTGAGACTCCTTGGATGGCACCCTAGGTACAGCAAAGACATGGCACATCCTCAAAGCCATTCTCGACTCCACCAAAACTAAAGGAGAGAGACACAAGGCCCTCGAGTGATTACTGAACACCTAACCAGGCAGCCAACAAGACCTCGTCAATGTCATCAAGACCAAGTGCTATGGAGATCCTGCTCCCACAGAGGCATGTACAACATTTTATGTGGGACAACTGAACCCAACAATTGATGAACATATAACTGAAAATCAATTGACAGCGGCCATTGCAGCCCCCGTAACACGACGGCAGGCACAGAGAAAATCACAGACGCCATGATAAAAAACCTCAGTGTGAAGTGTATCTCTGCCCTCACGGCCTTTATCAACCAACATTGGAAGCAAGGCACTGGCAACCAACACTGGTAACAAATTCATAATTGCACTTTAAAACATTCGTTGTGGGCATTAGTTGACCCTCGCAGGGCTGCTTGACAAACTTCCCACGAGAAGCAGACGATCCACGCCCAGGAGCAGCGGCTGCTGCAGCACGATTGAGACCGGAGTCCACAAACTGACGTCATACGCGAAAGGGCGCCACTCCCAAGATTTTGAGGTCAATAGATTACAAAATACAGCCCGTTTTATAGATGCCGCCATGTATAGGAAAACGACTAAAGGAGCAGTGGCAGTACTATGCGACTGCCGAGGCCACGTTATCTCTGATGCATCAGTACGCCCTCGCAAGATCACAGACACCAAAAAGCTGGCCATTGCATTTGCCATCCACGAAGGCCTGGATGCAAACAAGCCACTGAAAATACTCCCAGACTCCCAGCAGGCCTGCAGGAACTTCCTGCAGGGCAGAATTGGTGCGCCTGCTGCGCATGTCTTGGCAGAAATAGCAAAGGAAGACAAGGAAGGCTCCGACATACAGACCGTCATGTGGATACCATGACACTCTGGCTTCATGGGTAACCTATTCGCCGACCAGGCATTTCGAGGCTTCGTACCCAACCAAGCACCCCTTACGTTGACTAAAGCAGACCCAAGGCCAGATGACCTCCAGTATGCCGCATTATTGAATTATTCCAGAGGCCAGCGCCTACTGTATCCCCCGCCTCACCAAAACCTTATGAGGGAGGAGGCCACTGCCTGGCGGAGACAAACGCCTACCCACACTGCATCGAATGCACCCCACATCTTACAGGGATGAATGCCCATGGTGTGGGACTACACCAACCCTGTACCACATTACAGGGGAGTGTACACTAAGCAACCTCCAACACAACAACATGAACACCGCGAGTGAGCAATGAGAGGTGCTGCTGTCTAGCTTGGCCCTCGACGACCAGATCAGGATCGTCCAGAGGGCAGAGTGGACGGCCACAGCCAGTGGAGTGCTGAACTAAAGGCCCCGACCATCAAGAAAGCCCCTTCGGGGCAACCCACAGGAGATTTCCTTGCCTCTACAATAAAGTTTGTCATCACCATGTGTTTGTCTTCAAGCAGATAGACCGTAATGAAGCCTAAAAGGCAGCTTTGTTGCAATACATCTGAAGGGGTCACTTTTAATCGGACGTTGACTGTGTCTGATAAGTTCAACCGTAGCAGAGAAGACAAACAGCTTTGCCACCATACGAATACGTAACAAGTGAAGTATATTAAACATATGAAGAGATTGATTGATATGTGGGGTTTAACGTCGCAAAACCACCATATGATTATGAGAGACGCCGTAGTGGAGGGCTCCGGAAATTTCGACCATCTGGGGTTCTTTAACGTGCACCCAAATCCGAGCACAAGGGCCTACAACATTTCCGTCTCCATCGAAAATGCAGCCGCCGCAGCCGGGATTCGATCCCGCGACCTGCGGGTCAGCAGCCGAGTACCTTAGCCACTAGACCACCGCAGCGGGGCTCTGAAGAGATGGCTTTCGGTAGGATGTTGAATGTATTGGTTTTTGGAAAGTTCAAACGGTTAGAATAGTAAAAATTCCAGCACGAATATAATAGCAAACACTATTAGAAAAATATTCCGAATTTCGGATATTCGCCCACCCCTAATGTTTTTATTGTTACCAGAGAAGGAGTGCATTAGAGGTGGTCAGCTTATATACAAATATATTTACTTCTTCCAACGCATCCAACTGTTTTATGAGTAAGGTAATTTTGGCATTGAAATGATAGTGTTGCAAACTGAAAGTTGTGAATACACAATCACTCAGTTAATACAAATCGGCAAACCTATCTTCAGACCTGGAAATTTAGTGCGACCTCTTAAAGCATGACAGTGGCTCAAATATGGCAACATGGTTGCATATAGACATTTTTGCACAGCCCTGCGCAGCTTTCTTCCTGGCCAGTTGTGAAGTCAAGATATTTCTTTACAGTGTGCTAAATACATTTTTATCCCATCCCTCAATTATTTGATATTTGGAGCAATCCCATTTTAGTCGGGGTAATTTCCCAGTTACTTTAGATTGTCTTTCTATTAGTATACATGCACAATTTCTATTTCCTGTGTGTTCAAACTACAATGCACTCTATATATGTGAGTGTCTCATAACAAAGATACTATACTACTCTATACATAAGTGACTTTATACATTTTGGAGCACATTTAGGAGCAGGAAAAGTCCTACTTTGGAGCAGCCATAAGACTTTTCGGAGCATAAAAAAAAAATGCTAGTTTAGAGCAGCTACTAGTATTTTAGGACCAGATATTTTATTTGCCATGCCATTAATTGGAGTTCAGAGCATTGTCGAAGCATCTAGTAAATATTTTTTTATTATGAGATATATTTACCAGACAACAGCCAAAGTAAATTTCATGAAGAAAAACAATGGGAGGTTGTCAAAAATGTGCTGTGAAATGAGCTACAATTTGAAATACTATTATTTGGGGCAGAAATCAAATTAGACTGGAAAAGCTAAGCACCACATTTTAGAATTAACCATAGTCCATTATAAGTGTTGCCAAATGAGCAGTAGATAACAGGTATGAGATAAAAGCAATCCGGTTCATTTTCACATTCACCACACTAGCCTGCATGTCTAGTTGAGGAAAAAAAAACCTACCAAATGACTTATATGGCCAATATTACAGTTTTGTCGCACAAATGGGACCAGAGCCGATAATTCTCCACATTAGTAGCACAGTGGAATGAAAGTACACCGATTTTTTGAAGTTTCTTAAGGACTTGTGAGCAGATCAAAGAGTGAACGTTTGTTACTCTCATTCTTTCAGTGTCATTTCGGAGCAGCATTGCGAACATTTCTCTTTTGGAGCAGCACTTTCATCACTGCTACTGAAATATTTGCATAGCTTTAGTAAATAAGTTACGTTAATGCCTACAACAAAAAATACCCACAATTACAAGTCCTTGTAGAACCCAAGCTTTTAAGCATCATGTCCACCTTTACTTTTCAAAATTTCAAAAATAGAAATATTTACCACTAAGTAAAAAAAAAAACTTGACGATTCTGATGAAGCATTTCCAGACAGAGCAATGCTTAAAGATAAGAAATCTTGGCTCACATCACCTTTCCAAAGTGTCCTCGCCCCAGCACACTTATAAATTCAAAATCATCAAGAGTCAAAGATCCCTGGACACTGAAAAGAAAAGAAAAGTGTACTTATCACGTTTACATCAATCCTCAACAATTATACGTATTATATCTCAAGTTGCTAGCATACCAACAGACGTTTGACTTTTCTCAACTTAGCGTTCAGGCTATAAAACCATTAGTACTTGTCTAAATAAGGATATTTGTCTCAATAAAAAATACACCTTCAAACATCAACTGCCCTATCCTTCCAATGTAACAAGTCTTGGAGCATTGAACTTCTAGAACGCTAATCTCCACTATCAGGATATAATATACACAAGTATGATGCATTTGCTGCAAGCCTTTCTTTGTAGTGGGCAGTGGAACCTTCACAGAATTACTTGACATTTCAAAACTTCACGTCTGCGGAGCACCATATAATATGAACTTCAATGAAGTGACATTTCACTGCTAACACGAGGCAAGAAGTTATAAAAAGTTATATTTAATTTTATTGAGCATTCATCGTATTTTTAAAATCTCTGTTACCATATTTTTCAGAATACAGTCAAACCGCGGATATACCGAACTCACGATAAACTGAACTCGTAACGGACACGAAATAGTTCGATGTATCAATAATTCGAAATACAAAATACAGTGTAGACAGACCGCTTATAAGGTAAGTCGCGGAGTAGTGAATATCCACACCGAAAGCAGTACCCCACTTGCACAAAAAATGACGGGCATGAAGCCTCGCGTATTCAAGAATCGAAACATGCAATCAAGTCGTGGTGCTTACACCTATTTAAATTTCCAAATGTTGAAAAAAAAAAAAAAAGTCTATAGACATGCGTTGCCAACGACAGGAATGGAAAAAAGAAAAAAAGTGGGGTGGTCTAACAAATATAAAGCACCATCGCAAAAATTCAGCGACTACTTCTCAGACCACCCCGTTTATGTGCATTACACAAAAACATGTCAAATCAAGTCCAGAATTTCACGCGATGAAAGATGTCAAGCGTTCGATTTCATGGGTGCGCATACAAATTCAAGACATGGCCATCTAATCGCGAACCCCTATTCGAGCGCTACAAGTGCCAACATCGTTTTCACCAATGATGAGTATCCCTTTCAGTCAAGTGAAGCAACCGCAAAGAGTTCCATTGATTCCACACCAAACCGCAACTTGGCACGCGACCACTACCGAAATGCGGCGCCGATTAAGCCTAGCCTGCTGTTCGGTATGTCGTCGTGGGAAGTTTGTACATGAAGATCCGGTGTCGAAAAGATCGCACTCAAGCACAGTTCAGGGGTGGAAGCAGCTTTGGAAGCAGGAATAATGTGGCTTTGGAGCAGTAAAAAGGGAGTTTTGGAGCAGCTCTGGAGCAGCAAAAGGTGCGTTTTGGAGCGGCGGATTTCTCAGGCCACACATCATTGTTAATTAGAATTTTTGATTTCTGGTAAACAAAAAAAAATTTCAGTAGTTTTTACTAATCATTCAATGCTAATCAAGCAACCAGACTTATTCGAAATTCATATATACTAAACCTTACAACATGAAAGATGAAAGCGCAGCTACTAAAAAAAAAAAACAAAAAAACATTAGCGGCGCTTTGGACAGCTACTGGACCTCTGATGGATAAAAAAAACTTGATGTTAAAATGTTGCAATGTTCAAATTGTGATTAAAATACTGCATCCAACATGACAGCAACTCAAGACTAGAGATTAGCTAATATAATGAAAGTTACCTTCATACTAAACCAATAGCGGTCTACAAAAATAAATGTAAAAAAACTTATGTTCCGGTCATTGAAGTGCCACAGCCGACATGAGAACCACGAGAAAATTTAGATGCGCTCACCGTGCCATTGCTAGGCAATCAAATGAATTTTTTTTATTACGATAGGAATTATATGGACACTCCACGGGTTTTCGTCGTTGCCACCATGTTCCAACTGAAGTTTGTAACATTCTCTGTGCATCATAGCACAGTCTACTGACGTGTAAAATTGTGCAAGCTGGGGTGATGAGCACTGCTCAAGCAGTTTAAACGAGACAGCCGTTCTTCGTCGCTCAGAGGGTGCACGTGTTTGCATCCCACCGTGTATTAGAACAGCCGTCAAATACTCAAGCAGAGAGGAAACATACCGCCCGTTTTGAACAAGCATGAAAAGATGCCGGGGAAAAGGGGGTTGCTCGAGCAGCAGCTGTGCATTTTAATCTAATCAAGGGCTTGGTTGTGATAGCTGGCGCATGTAATATCTGCAAGCATTAGCGCACGCCTCGTAAACCGTTCTACGTGGTGTACTCTCAATGGAAAGAGATTGTGCGATAAGAGCATTTTTCCCTGGAGCAGACATACTTATTCTCTTACACTAGCGTTTTGTGAACTTGACGACGCTAGTTTGGAGGTCCCTATCTTAGTGACGTCCGTTTTGAAGAATTCGTCACAGTGGATAGCAATGTCCATAAATGCCGTCCACTAAAGGACACCAAAATTGTGTAGATAGTTTGGTTAAAGGACAACAACGACGACATCAGAAATGAACCGCCTCAGCTACCAATGTTGCTGAAGGCATTGATCTTGCGCAGCTGGCAACCGACTTATGCGACACCAAAGCACTTCCACATGTGTACTGCTGCGAAAACTCGCTAGCCACGGCCACGTTCGGCAAGAGAACACGTAGAGAACTGTCAGGTTTGAAGCAATAAAAGTGCGTTTTTTTGTTCACTTTGCTTAAGTGGAAGTTCGTTATTTCAAATTTTTTTGCGCTTCCTGTAAACTTCGTATCAATGGGAGTCGACTGCACTCTGTTTTTGTGTTTGACAAAGCAAAACTGCCAAAAAAAACCCATAAAAAATATGCTTCAAGAAGTGTATTTCTGCAGCAAAGACTGAATAAGTATTAAATTTTTATTCAGTTCACCTAACTAACAGAGAAAATGTTTTCAAAACCCACATCTTTTATTACACAATAGCTCACCTTTCAACAACAGTCACTGTTGTTGTAGTTGTAACCTGCACAGACTCGGAAAGTCTGTTTACTTCTTCCTCTTCATCAGGAGCCAGTTCAACTATGGGCTCAGGACTCGGTGAATGGCCACTGGTTATTGTGTTGGAGGCAGGCTGTGCCTTTTGCTCCACTGCCATTGGCGATGTCTCTTGTTGTAAAAAGTCGAACTCTCCTAGTGCAGTCTGTGAAAAACGTGAAGTAGCAATTCAACCTCCAGAACAAATATTTTATGCTTTATGATCGATATTTCAGCAAGAAAGCTTCTGACAACTCGAAGGATCACTCACCGCACAGCAAGATTGCTCTAAACTATGGGGTGAGACGGCTGAGAGTGACTTGGAAGAAGTTTTAGGAACAGCGAATTTTCAATTTGAGAGTAGACGAACCTTGCTTTAGAGCGGTTAGCGACATTTGGTACGTTGTCCAAGGGGCTTGAAAAAACTAATTTTTAGCGACGTGGGGGCACAAGTGCATATTTTAATAGGCTTACAATACACATAACACTTAAGGGGGGACGTGGCAAGTAAAACTAATTTTTTTATTAATGTACTGTTTGTGATGAAATTTGGTGTGTGTATGTGGATGATTGTGAGGATTCCAAATATGAAAACCGTTTTCAAATACCTCTTGTACTTTTTGAGTTACAAGCATAATTATACTAATTAATGCTCTTCGCACTTAAAGAGATAATTATTGCTAAATGAAATTATTTTTTCATATTATTATGTTCCCAAAGCATCAACTTGTGCAAAGAAGCTATTAGTTGATTTTTCTAGTTCTTGTAACCATAAATAAAATTTCCAAAACATGGATGTTGTTTTGCGCACACATCGCAGTAATTATAAAATGTGTTCTAAAAATTTTAAATGATGAGTAAGAAGAGAGATAAAGCTTTATTGCACTGCTAAAGGCCTCCTGAGCCTAGTGCAAAAAACGGAACGACTCTATCAGTCTTTGTTAAAAAATGACAGATGTTCTAGCGAAGGCACATAGGCGAAAATCAAGAGTTGAGAAAACTGACTTTGAAAGTTCACTCTTGTTTGGAAGTTCACAACATGCCTAAAACACTCAGAATCCTCCTGGGCAGTAATCCTGAGATGCTGTGGCCTTGGCCTCTGTAGAGCGCAACCCAGTTTTGCGCTTCTTTGTCGTGGAACAATGCGTCTTTTGAGCCCTCTTCACCCTTTTGGCATCCTTTTCGGCTGCTCGCCGCAAAGAGCAGTCTCCTGGATTGAAGCCCAGTTGAGCAGTGATCTCTTGCAGCGCACTCTTGCAGCCACCATTGAAACGGCAGACTGCATCTGCAACTGCACTTTCCACACTTCGAAGGGAGGCGAACTGGCTCTTGGACTGGAGTGACCAAATGAGGCTGTTCATACTCTCCACAGCGTTCTGGGTTTTTCCCTGCGCACACCTTTCAAGGAGCTCTTTGTTCGAGAGGCGCTTGTAGATTGGCAGCAGTGCCACTCGCACGTGAGGGGGCAGTTTATGTTTGTGAGGCGGCAGCGGCTCTCCCTTGGCCAATGCCTGATTGTGCGGGCACCAGGAGTCAGTCCCACTTGGGCACAGGTCGTGGTGTGGATCCTGGTCTGTGGATGTTACATGGTAATAAGTGGCCATGATGGCCCTCTCCATGCCAGGAACATCGTTGGGGTGGCTCTTAATGGCCCAGCCATAATAATTCGTCAACTTCTTTATAAGGCCCTGCGTCAGCCGGCCTTTGCCACCCATGCTCAGTCCTCGGCCTTTGGATTTGTGCTCATCAAGAAGGTTGCGCAAGGAAGTGCCCATTCTTTTTTTCACATGGTTCACACACTCCTGTTTCTTAATCAACATGTAGCCATACACCTTGTCTTGCGTGAGGGCAAGGTACGTACGGCTGTCACCGTCGCAGAGCACATTGATGTATCGAAGCTTGTACTTGGTAAACGATCTTTCAAACATGATCCTCGCTGCTTCTACTTCCATTTGGCCTGCATTAGCATCGGTGTTCTTTTGGCACTGTGGCTTGTGTTTCTCAAGCCACTCCTCATAGTTGTCGTCACCAGGCTTGGGACCAACAGCACAGCCTTGGCAGTAGTTGGACAGGACACAGTGGTCCAAGACCAAGCCTGTGTACAGCTCGATTACACAGCCCACGCCAATATGACTTCTGTGCCCCCTCGTCATCCACGTGCCGTCGTAAATGACGTCAATGTTGCCTGGCACTCCTCCTAGGTCCTTGTAAATGTCATGCACCTTCTGTGCACTTTCTGCTTCAATGCGGGTGGCAGCTGATGTGGTGGCAGGGTGGCTGTACTTCCTTTGCAGTCTCTGGTAGGACTTGTGGTGCAGTGCTCGATGCGAAATGTCCATCGCAGAAAAAATGTCATTTATGGCAGATTGTTTTCTGCCAACTGACTGCACAGCCCTCAAAGCACGCACGTTTACCTCAAAGGGGTTCGTTTTTTGTTGCCCGGAGCACCTCGGGGACGACCACGCACTGTTCACTATGCCACAATTGTCACAAAAAAGTTCCATCCTCGCCGCGAGTCCAAGGCAGTGCGTAGTCTCGAGGCGTATCGACCCTTCGTCGCACTTGTTGCACTTTACTGACGAAAGCAGACCGTTCAGCATCTTCTTATTTACAATGAAGAATGTGGAGTCCTTACCGCCGTCATTTTCGTCGCAGCCTTCGTTCAGAAGCTCGAGCTTCCGCTTTGAAGCGGATTTCGATGCTACGGCATCCAAAACATCCCGCCTTGTCTGCGCCCGCTGCGCGATTTCTTCACTGCTCGGAATCTGGGCCGAAACTCGCGATAGAATGTTCGACGCGCGCACGCCCGGAGTTGCAACGGCTGCCGACGCGGTGCCACCGCAATCGGGTTCGCGAGAGCGTCCATCACGGTCGACGGCATCCGGCGGTCTGACATACGACGATGTGGCACCTTCCACACTCTCGGCCTCACAACAATCAGCGAAGGGTCTGAGTAGAGGCTCCGTGACGCTTGAAGAGCATGCTCCGTCCGGAACTGCGACTGGGACGGCAGCCGCAGTCGTCTGCCCTTTGTTCCAAGCTTTCCGACGCTTGCCGTACTTGTGGACGCTCCGGAACTTTTTTGCGACAACATAGCACCGCAGTATGAGCAAGCACTCAGAAGAGACCACTGATGTAAACAAAGCTTGGTAAAAAAAAGCACGCGAACTATCACAAAAACAGCCAACTGGCAAAAAACGAAGCGCACGCCGGATGATTCTCGACTCGGCGGCCGCAGATGCGCTCGCGCTTCCAAGGTTGCCAAGGTGCGCGGCGCAGCTTTGACCAGTAAGAGGTCGCGCCTGCTACCACGTGACCCGCGCAGCCAATTGCCGTTCTTCGTTTTCGTTTTTTTACTTGCTCCTCGCGCTTTTATTTTCACTCGGCGAAATACGAGACCGCGACCATCGGGAAGCCGGCTTTCTCCTCTTTCCAAAGCTACCAAAATGGCGGCCCACGGTCAACAACTTGGCGCGTTTGTGCGGCGTGAACAACACCGTTTCAGGGGCTTTTTTTTCGCACTTTTCGGCGACTAGCCTCGGCAAAAACACTATTTGCGGGATTTGTAGCGCACGTTTCGCTGCAATATTTTAGAACAAGGAAGTTGAAGGTCTGAAGATTACGAAAAAAAATAAATCAGAAAATCGCATATTTTGACCAAAATCGGCACTTTACTTGCCGCGCCCCCCCTTAAACATACTTTGAATGAAGTTTTTGAACAGATTATCGCCAGACATGACCTGCATTACCTTTTTACACGCTACGGGACCTATTTGGTCTTTATCACAAACATCTGAAAGAATATTTAAAAGACATTTGCAAACTAGGTGGGCCTTCCCTTAAGACCAGCGACATAAATGATCAAATCCCTGCATTGACTTTTTGTACGTCTGCTTATGTATCTGGTCAGCTGCGTGGTTGGCATAACACCAAGTGCACACAGCAACCTTTTAATAAACAGCAAAAGCGCGCTGAACTGCCATTTTTGGCCACCTCACACGGGACCATTTTCAAGAGTGCGGTGCGGGAGCCAACCAAGCTCACCGCACCGGCTATTTCGTAAAGCGCGCGCATATGGCACTAAGGATAAGCGAATCATACTAGGTGATAACGTCGCTCGACGCGTGTAACCATGTGTTATTATTACTGCGCACGTTGGCTTGTTCTATTTTCTTTAATATAGAAGGCCACTTGAGCTCCCCATAATACAGATTTGCATTTGCCACTCCCGCCCCTTCGCGAATCACGTAGAGCACTCGCACCGCTCAGCGCAGGTGAGCAATTTATCCACGCAAGCGAAACGTCGAACGTACAGAGGCCGGATTGTTGTGGGGGAAAAAAGGAAAGGAGAGAAAAAGAAACAAGAAAGATTGATGATTGATTGATATGTGGGGTTTAACGTCGCAAAACCACCATATGATTATGAGAGATGCTGTAGAGGAGGGCTCCGGAAATTTCAACCACCTGGGGTTCTTTAAAAGCGCACCCAAATCTGAGCACAAGGGCCTACAACATTTCCGCTTCTATCGGAAATGCAGGCGCCGCAGCCGGGATTCGATCCCGCGACCTACGGGTCAGTAGCAGAGTACCTTAGCCACTAGACCACCGCGACGGGCAGAAACAAGAAAGAAAAGTGAAAAAAAAAAAAAAAAAACAAATGACGCATGCCAGTCACACTGCTGAACAGACGTCAACCGAAACACCCGTCGAACAAAAAGCTAAACCTAAAAGTTCGTATAGCCTAGAGCCGACACACAGTGATGCCTCTTAACTCTTTCGCTACGGATCCATAGGCCATCACGGAGTTCCGATGATTTCGAATCTCCCACAAAAATTAAAAACTCACGTTTTACGGACACGTAACGCCATCTAGCCTAAGCTTGGGCAAGCAATTTTCCACTCTCAGCTCTCTTGGTTTACGTTTCGCCCGCCAAGCCGCGCCCGCGTGCGCACTTTGAACGTAATGTGGTTTCGTTTTACGTGAGAATGGCCACCCCTGCCCGCCGCGCGCTGCGACAGCTGATTGCTGTTGCAAGCACTACAGCCGCTTCCACCGACAATCTTTTCGATCAGAGTAATGCAGACGACTAGAGTGACGATGTGGAAGCTTCAGATTCGAGTTCCGACGATGACACTCCAGACCAGACGCCTTAGACTTAGACAAGTACTACCAGGTAAGTTTCGTTTTTGACTTCGCGCTGCATATAAAGAAAAAAACGCACTTGATATTTGACGACAACGGTATCCTTTCTTTGCTTAGGGTCTCAACAACGTACGGCAAGCATGTTTTGCCAAATGCAGCACGCCGTATCAAGTTTTCACCCGCAAGACAGCCTGGTGCCCATCTTGCACCAGTGCTACGAAGTGACGTGCGTCGCTTCTCAAGGGAGCTTGATTTTTGTCCTTTTGTTTTTAATGACGGAAGTGCTCCAGACGTTATGTGATAACACAAACAAGTACGCCTGCATGCGTACTTTAGACAGGCAAACCTACGCTCACCAAGACAGCTCCTGGGAAGAGGTAATACCACTTGAGATGCTGAGGTTCATCGGACTTATCCTCAACATGGGTGTTGTTGATGTACCATGGCTCCATATGCACTGGCGGACGACGGGAATATTTTTAGGCCTTCTCCCACCAAATATTATGAAACGGGACCGATTCTTTGCACTGTTAGCTTTCCTAAGCGTAACTTTCTTAAGATCTTGCGGCTGCAGCATCTGATGGGAAGACTGCCATTCTTGGCCACCTTACACGGGACCATTTTCAAGAGTGCGGCGCGGGCCGCACCCTAACCGGCTACGCATGCCGCTCGGTTAGGGTGGCTTTTCACTAAGCGACAGAGGCGCCAAAACACAGAGCCTAACGAGTAGAAATGGCAAGCTCAATACACGGCAGCACATTTTTGTGGGGTCACACATACTTATTAACAGTCCAGAGGAGATTATGATGGCACCATTTGAGCCTTCGTCACCAAAAAGGAGCAAAGTAAGAAACACACTTGGGCGCATCTTATTCTCTCGGTATTCCTGGTGCTTCTCGGAAAATGATGTAGTGAACTCAGCCTTTTTTTCCCCATTGAAGCTGAGGTTGGCATCACAATTCTTGCTTTTGAGGTTGTTTTGGAGCAGTTCAGCGCAATTTCGAGATTTTTATGCTTTTGGAGCAGCTTGGCGCAAGAAGACGGAAACTTATCAAAAATGCGCAATATGCGCAGCTGTCTCAGCCCTGCTTTAGTAAACTGAGAAAGTTACCAAGTTAATCGGCATATATAAAAATACTCTGGAATAAAGAGCTGTGTGCATGCAGTACAGGAAGAATAGAACACAATTGAACAAAAGTTATGTTACATTTGTGGGTGAAATCATGGCTTATTGACTAAAGCAAACTGCATCACTACTAAGAATGATCCAGCTGCATTTTGCATCACTGCCTTTTTATTGTGTAAATAAAAACAGAGTAAGGCTGGAGTACATTGCCGTACAACTAGGGCCTAGCAAGGCATCCTTTGAATCTACCGATTATCTTTGCCACTGCATTCACCTTTATTTCACAGCCATTTGGTTTAAGTCAGATCCGACACACTATGAATTTATGATCACAGGGCCATTTCCCTGTGGATAGTGTTATTGCACAAACTATTTTCGTTGATGCAAATGATTACCAAACTGAAGCCCCTCACATAGACACTTGGTAGAATATAGGCAGCCACGCTCTTTCCATCGACAATTTTGGAACGCAATATGAGGCAACTTACAGTGGCACGCCTGAAAAGTAATTATGCAATAAAATGGGGATTACCTGAACATCAACTTCCAGTGATGTCTGAAGTGTTGACAATGGAGTCAATGTGTCAGCTTCATTGCCGTCTTCAAAGTTGAGCTTGGTAACCACTAGACTGTCAAGCTCAGGAGTTGCGGAAACACGAGCTGCAAAAAGGAAGGCAAGAACGCAAACTACCGTATTTACTCAAATGTAATGCAACCAAGATTGTAACACCAAAAGCGGGTTTTCAGTGCCGAAAAAAAAAAAAAAAAAAAAACACAAATGTGACCTGAGTAAAGCAGAGGAAAAAAGTACGTTTATTTGCTGCACATGGTAGTGTCAAAGACATCCCAGTTTCTAAATACAGTTACACCTGCTTATAACGAACTTCCATATAACAAATTCCTCGATATAACGAAGTTTCTCCATTCCTCATCGCTGCTCCATAGAAGCACATGTATTCGCGATCTCTATGTAACAAAGTAACAGTGGGAGAACCTTGATATAATGAATTTCCCCCACAGACAATCTATAAATTTTGCTACACATTTTGGTACAAGCATGCATCTTCCGCGGCTGCCTCACCCGTCGCCAACCAAGCGCGAAGTGGTGGCGGCGGCACGCACTGCGCACCAGGCGAGAGCGAGCGCCCGTTATTCCGAGCGGGTGAGCGCGAGGCGGGCAGGCGGGCCTTCACCCCACGTGCTGGCATTGTCGCCGTTCTGCCTGCTAAGGGCGCATGCGTGGGTGTGCCCCCTCCCCTCACTCCAAACAAGAAAACTACTTTTGCATGCTGGCAGTGCCATGCCTTTAATTCTCTTCACATTCGTGGGGCCGCGCTGCATACAGAGAGTGATTTACCGATTAGTTTTCTGTGGTATCTGTGTCTGTCTCGTTCGCTCTTCGTTTTCCACGTCGTGCGCGCGTGCATAGTTAAACTGCGCGCCATAGTGTGGCACCCGGCAACGTTAAGATTTGCTTTTCTTTATTACGATAGCAATTACTTGACAGTCACAGCTGGTTTTTTGCCATCAGTGCAGTCATTCACCTCATGTATATGTATCTACAAATAAAGCTCAAGAAAAAAAAAAAAAAAGCCACCGGCACGCTTATCTCCCACGTGTGAGGGGGTAGATGCTTGTATGCGTGCACTTATCCTTCAATGGGGAGAATCACACGCTTTCAACTTTGACCGAAATGATGATTGATTGGTATGTGGGGTTTAACGTCCCAAAACCACCATATGATTATGAGAGACGCTGTAGAGGAGGGCTCCGGAAATTTCGACCACCTGGGGTTCTTTAAAGCGCACCCAAATCTGAGCACAAGGGCCTACAACATTTCCGCTTCTATCGGAAATGCAGGCGCCGCAGCCGGGATTCGATCCCGCGACCGTACCTTAGCCACTAGACCACTGCAGCGGGGAGACTTTGACCGCAACGACTGCGTTTCAGTAGATGGGCGCAAAAAGATCACTTCACTCGCAGGACAGGCGCCGTTTGTGAAAACAGTGAGCTTTTTAAACTCGGCAAAGTAAACAACTCAGACACTTGTTAGTTCGCACTAGTACCTGTACCTATGAAAATGTTTTGTAATCGTTTTTGTTTTAAACAGCGCGTCAAGTGGTAAACATACTTCGCTCTCGTCCTGTGTATGTTGTTTTCGTGCATCATTTGTGTGTGAGCAGCGCGCTGCATGTTTCGATCTACTTGCCGTTTTCAGCGTTACATTCTAAGTTGTTGCTATCGCATTCATTACTTCGCCCTTCCTGCAAAACTGTGACTTTTCTTAATTTCGGACTTAATTTGGATTGCTTAAAGCGAGTCCCATAGTTGTACAGGTTTTTCGTTTTGGATTCGTGTATACATGTTTCACCAATGACAGCATTATTGATCACGCCATCATTTCGGATTTCTATGTTAGCGCTGTCGTCACCGTTAAAAGTTGTTCCAAACCCATTTCATGGGGTGTATCCAGCCATAAGTTAGTCTTTTTGAATAAAAGCAGGGCCCAGAATGCTTTTCTTGTTTGAATTTCCATTCAAGTAGCTTTCTACATTTTCTGATTGATTTGTGGGGGTTTAACATCCCAAAACCACTATTTGATTATGAGAGACGCCGTAGTGGAGGGCTCCGTAAATTTCGACCACCTGGTGTTGTTCGTTACCGTGCGTTCAAATCCGAGCACACGGGCCTGCAATGTTTCCGCCTTTATCGGAAATGCAGCCCCCGCAGTCTGGATTCGATCCCGCGACCTGTGGGCCGGCAGCGGAGTACCTCAGCCACCAGACCACCGCGGTGGGGCAGCACACAGCTTCTTCTCTGCCTGTGACTACCTTAGGCAAAGTAAGCTAGATAACGAGGGAGAATGAAAATATTTTGCGAGTGTTAGTAATACAAGCTAAGAGCAGTGCCAATAAAGGTGGAAATCAATTTACACCGCCTTTGCAGTGAAGTGCCGATAAAGATAAAAGTCAAGCTTCGCACGCCTCCATTGTGATAATCAGAAGACATTGCCACAAAGGACATTGCCCATCCGCCCTGCCAGAGACCACCAGATGTGCTGATGCAAAAATCAGTTCTGTTCATATTTCTGTAAAAAAGGCAGCACAATAATTTCTAACGAAGTCCTAGAAGCTGGCAGCACCTCCCAGTGCGGATGCATCGTCATTGCAGTATGAAATTTCAAGCGAAGGGTGAAAAACGTACACGTTCGGCACAGACACTGCGGGACAAAAACCACCACTGTACATGTTCAGCAAAAACATGTTAAGGGCAGGGTGTCTACGAATTTGATATTACTGAATTCCCCAACTTCTCCAGGTTTTCCATGATGATTAAAAGCAAATTCTATGACCGCCATGTCTGCTTGCAAAACTCTGTGCACTGGAAACAAACCCTCGAGTGCTAAAAAAAAAAAATCAGGAGCTCCATATAAAACAACATATTTACCAGACACACTCGGAATGTTCTGAGCACGTGCGGTAAATGTGAAACAATATGTACATCTGGCCAAAATAAAACCCCCGAGCCAGGTAGTGAGCAAGTCAACTGTTTGATGTTTGGAAGAACCACAAAGAAACCACACACCACAGACCCAGACTAAAGAAAACCTTTTTGTAACATGTGCCAACTGCAGTTTACTCTATTTACCAGGATGAACAGGAACCACAGATAAAAGCTTGAAGGAGCCTGCAATGGTCCAACATCGCAGTCAAAGCTGCTAGGAAACGTAGAAGTGGTGCCATCTCGCAGCATCCGTGCAAAATGAGGACACGGGAGTCTAGCCGGTTCTGCCATTGGAGTGTAATCTAGTTTACTATAATGATTGTAGGCCACACCACTTAGGATGTGGATTGGATTGAATCGAATTAGGTCGACCTGAAATGCTGTATTTACCGACTCCGCTATTTAGGACGTGGATTGGATTAGATCCAGTTTAACCTAGATTGCTGTATTTACACAATTGATTTGCATACCTGCCTAATTTGCGGATCTCTAAAATATACTTTTCTGCAAAAAAAAAAAAAAAAACCATGAATAACTACTACTTGCGTATTCCATGTATCTTGCCTTGACAAGGCGGTAATGACAATTTTGAAAGAACAGAGCCGCACTATAAAATTTTCTTTCTTTTTCCAACAAGCACATGCATGCTTGTATTTTGTGTCTATGGGCTCTGATGCTTGAAGTGCAACCTAAGTCCTTGGACAGCTGCAATGAAAGCTGGGGACGGCGTTTAAAGCGCAGACGTTTGAATATGAGGTGGCAAGAAGGAATCTGTCAAGGTGCAACAGCTACCTTAATTCCACACCTGAATCACGTATGTCGACATGTTACCTTGATTTACGTACTCTTCTGTGGATGTCACGCTAAAAAATAATTGCAGATTCATTTACACAAGTGCTACCCTTGAAACACAAGCCACCAGCAATAAGTGTATAGCCAAGGCAAGCTTCTTCTGATGGCAGTTCTAGCCTAGAAAAACCAGACTGTCTTCAAGCCGAGCCGAAATTGTGGCTTAGACAAACATGCACAAATTTAAAGACGCGAGTAATGTTGTGGTTAAAAAGACAGACAGGCCGTGTGATATGTAGAAGCAACACACATCAAAATAGTGCATATACCAACGTGGAAGCTAAGGAATGCTTTAGCCAATGTGAACGACAAGCTGCAAGATTTACTTTTTCTTGTTTATGCCATAGGCCGCCAAAATTGTGACAACCAGTACTTCGGTGAAACTGGTGATTTGATTGATTGATTTGTGGGGTTTAACGTCCCAAAACCACCATATGATTATGAGAGACGCCGTAGTGGAGGGCTCCGGAAATTTTGACCACCTGGGGTTCGTTAACGTGCACCCAACTGGTGATTTCAAGAAAAGAGTTAGACACAAATATGACGCCATGGAAAAAGACGTGGCCTCCAGTGTCCTTGCTGAACAGGCGGAATCCACAAACCGTCTAATAGAGAGTTTTAGTGCTGGGTACGCATTCTCTTGGGGCGCTGCGGGCTTGGGAGTGCGCGGTGTTGCGTACCCAACCCATACCCAACCGGAATGCTTTATAGCAGTGCGCACGCAAATGTGAGCCGCATGAAGGTCGCATGTACTCGCAGTGCCATATCGTCTTGTTGCGTAAGTATTGTTTAATTATTTTTGCGATTTAAAATGTTAAATTAAACATCACAAGACTTTTTTTTTATCGTCCACAGTATCATGGTATAGGCAAAAAGGTGAAAAATGCAAAAATACAAGGTAACTGTAACGATGATGTCGACATCTTGTGACACTTCGTCCAACCATAGTCATGAGCACGTTGGCTTACGCGTAATATTTTCGAGGTGAAAATTACTAAAAAGATAACTCATTTGTAATAACGCCGTTGTGTGGTTTTTGCACGAGACGTACAATGCACAATGTTTCTGCAATAACAGTTTTGTGATTGCCTGGTTCACTATGGCCCCGCTAGATGGTGCCACCTATTCAGCTGGTCGGGGCTCGCACGTTTTTGGTTTCTATGTTCTAGGCCATTCAAGCTTTGGTAATCTGGCTGAAACAATTTAATCACTATTGATCCACCGCCAGTGAAGGTCAGTGTGAAGTGTGGCTCGCCGTAAAGGTGAGTGACATCCCGGTTAACATGATGCGCCAGCACGTGTGCCAG